TATCAGCTGCAAACTACCTGAAATTACAGTGGTTATAAATAATAACATTTCATACTTCAATGTTTGAAAGGTAATAAAGAAAATAATATAAGATAAACGCATCCGGAATATAAATAATACAATTTTTTTAGTTTAAGTTATCATCAATTTATATTCTATGAAATTTTAAAAAAAGGAGGGGGGGGATGTGTGAGAGATGACAGAAAAATCCAATAAACAGTGTTAGCTTGTACGTCAACATGGCAACTCAAGAAGGTTAAAGTTCATCAAATTGAAAACTTGCTTAGTGAGTTGAGCTCACTAGTGTGTATGACTAATCAGTGTAATGAAAGTGATACGGTTACCAAGGGAGTGAGAGATTGACTACACTCTCTTTCTGTGTGCATAAGTTTGGTCTGCGACGTTTGATTACAATTGCTTCAGTAAATCGTAGTAGATTCGCTGTCCTTTGAATGTTTAATATTTTGAAGGATTTGGAAATCTCGACAAAATGATCCGTATGCACAAGGTGTTTGGTAATTGCACTTTGTAAATATCTGCTTCCTTTTAGACATAAGTTCCTTGGAATGTGCTGTGAAAACCGGATAGAAGCCCTTCTTTCTGTCCTTCCAAAGTAAATTGTTATTGACTTCTTAACCAATGACTACTGATAACAATTATTTGCTTACCTATTTACTTCTTAAAACTACCAAAATTAAGAATAAGTTACAAGTATAATTAAAATACTCTAGAACAATTTGGTCACTCCCAAGAAAAAAAATTGCTAGGATACAGAGGAAATCATATCAAATATCATAGCAACATGAGAAGTAGTTTTTCTTTATTTTATTAATTTTTTGACTTTTTACTATGAATTAACTCAAAGGAGTGCAATGCTTTCAGGATGAAACTTTAACTATCGAGGTGATAGAAATGCTATGCCAACATTATCACATTTTATTGTAAATTTATACTAGTGTAATCAACTGCAAGAATAGCGGTTAGAAAGAAAGATTGTATGACAGTTTCAAGTAGACTATAAAAAATGAGTAATAATAATAATAAGCTTTATTCCAAAACAGTACTTGTGATACAGAATGGAATTCTCAGCATTTTTACTACAGTATTGCATCCAGTTAGTACATTATCAATAAATAAAATTCTACAGAGACTAAAGAAATCTCAGTTCATTATGACAACAACATATTGGGATGTCGGTAGCAAAGCCAAAGTTGAACAATGTTTGAAGGTGTTAGAAAAGTAGGTGCTGTCATATTTACTGGCGTAAGCGAGAGAAAGAAACAAAGCAGCACATAACGGAAAAGAGAGAGAGAAAAGGAAAAGAAAGAAAGAAAATGTTGTACCTATAAATGATATGAGCTGGAATGACGAGATCCAGTTTTACTACTGACTATTTAATGAATTATAGGTGTCACGCCTAATGCTTTCTTTATTGCACAGAACACGAGTAAGCGATGACATTGCAGTCAATTTCTGTGAAAATCAGGGGCATTTATAAGCTGATAAATGTCATCAGGAAATAAAACATGAAACAAACTACACACATATATTTCCATCACACACTAGTATTTAATGATGACGTTCCAAGCACAATTTATTCCCACTCATAATCATATCAAGTCACTCACACAACTTCCAGACTTCGTTTATATAACTCCATTAGTTATCACCTCTCCATTTCAGTGGTAGTAATATTTTCCTCCATATCTCTGGTATTGGTGATGAATCATTCCTATTGCATGCGTTGGGTGTACCTTCGATGAACAAAGATGCAGTAATCAACCTCACTCTCCGTCTCTCTACATTACTTTTTACAACTGCAACTCTGTCCCACCCATTTATATGGTTGTTGGGTTTCTTTCACTAAATTACTCATCTTCGTGGGGTCAGTCATTCTACATTTAGTTTAATTCTTGTGGTCTTATAGTATGACTACCCCCAATCTACTGGTCTGACCTATGTAGCTGACTTCACAATCATTGCAAGATGTTTTGTAAATTATATGATGTTGTCTGATTTGGTCAGTAGGGTCCTTTCACTTACAAAGCTTGTCCTCCCTGAATGCGTTTGTAGATTTACCTACCTTGCGTAACTGCAGATTCTTTTCAGCAAACCACATCTCCCTCCTGAAAGGAAGTGATGTCCGTTTGATTCTGTTGTCAAAGACATTGCGACTGAGCTGTTTGGACCTGCCGGTAGCCTCCTGTGGGATTGTAATAGTTACACTGGTAATAAACCAATGCCATCTGTCTAGTCCATATTGTTGGCTGTAATTTATGAGTCAAGTGAGTTCGAATCGTTTCCTACAACACTGCAGATATACCTTGCCAACCAGTTCAATAGGTACTTAACCTAGGCCCGCGGCTTCCTACTAATTACCTCCAACCATCCAATATCAATTCACAGTACACAGCGATGGTTGATTACCTAGCTTGCAAACTTGACTTATGGATTTGAGCCATTCTAAGGACTAGACGTCTTATACAGCTTACTCGGCAGTAACCGATCAATGTAATAGAAAACGAAATCAGTCTCATCACTGAATGTTTGAGGAACGATGGATACGCAGAATAATTCACAGAGAAGTGTTATTAACATATTAAGAGGAATGCAGAATACAGTACTGTAGAGATGAAGCCAGCGTTCCATAGTTTAGAATGAAAATTGATAAAATTAGAGGAAGAATTGGTGAAATTTTTGATATAGTTGTGTTCTCTGATCTGGATGGTTTATTTGCGAAGCTTCTATATCTGAATTTCTGAACCAATGAAAGACTCAATATCGGGAACCTTTCCAGCCGCCAAACTGGACCACCTGTATAAAACAACCGATTTAGTTACACAGTCCACGCTAGATCAACTCTAGCTAATTCCAATTGTGTTCATGAATTCAATTGTATCTGCTTTAGCAAGTACGCAAGAATAACGGAGAGACAGTTATCTACGTGGATTGTTGAACACGTCCCCAAGAGTTTACATCTTAGAAGTTGAGCTTCAGTTAACTACGCCGTTGCTGGGCATATGGCTAATACAGGATACCAGATTAAAACATTAGAATCTTTCAAGGTGGTAAATAAAAAACAGTGCTTGGTGACTACTTTGATGTGCTAAAGCTGTTGCCGTCTGAAGAATGAAACCTGAATTATTATGTGTTCAAAAAGAAACTGTTGCTAACTTACTATTGTCTTGGTGAGCACAGACTCTTTCAACTTAACTCATCAACATTTCATTTCCATGACTTAACGTGACATTTGCATTCACCTATTTTCTTGCTTCTTTTATTATTACCTTTGACCTTTTTTTAAATATAATAATAATAATTGCATGCGATTTAGTAGTGACTTCTCTGAAAAATCAACTTGTGAAGCTTTTTGAAAAAAATGTTTGAAAATGAAATAAAGAATACAATTTGAAAATGTTCAAAATCTACAAGATAAGGTTATACTGTTCAAGTATTGTTAGATATCGACATTTGTGCATGTCGAAGGTACTAGTGATTCGCAAACTCAACTGCAAACTTTGTGTGCAGTAGAGGTATGTTTAGTATATTATTCTAACGAGGCTAGTGAGTAAGACTCTGTGGTTTGAAACTATGGATGCCGGGTTTTACTGTGAACACTAACAGTCACTGAGGATGCAGATACATCCGGTTGATGAATCCTAGACGAGACACACCAATCACCAACAACCAAATAACATCATATTAAACTGAAGTCATCATCGAAACGTCTGTACTACGAATCGTCAAGTCAACATTTCGGTCCAGTATAAATTCATCGATAGATAATCCAAAACTATAATCTCAAGAAATTAGAAATGTTCTAGATACTAATAGGAATTTTTCGACTGTTCTTGTATTGGTAGGTATGATTTTTTTTCAGTTAACGAGCTGGAACACTTTCTTGCCAGTCAATAAGTTTTATTCTATAAATGTTAGTGGAAACATGGTTATAAATTTCCAAAATTTTGTGGCTTAGTAAGTTTTTGTAGAGAGAGAATCTTGTTTACTTTCTTCTGTTGAAGCAGTTTAAGCTATTTATATCCTTAAGATGGAAAAGATTTATTACCGATGATTCACCAGTGCATTGAAATGTAGCTTTTAACCTATTTATCAGACGCTTACTAACTGGATTTCATATCATGGAATGACTATGAAAGTATCTCAGCCACCACATGATTTGAAACAATAATCCTTTGAAAACTTTAAACCAAACTTATCACAACTGTTACTTTCTGAAACATGTGTTCAAGAATCCAATTCTTTGCCATTATGTTACTGATATTCTATTTTAAAAAAAATAGTTTTATCGTCTCTACGTTAGCCTCTAGATTTATTTTCATCATCTGATCGTCATTGTTTCAAACCTAAATTTAGACGTACAGTTTTGAGTCGCTAAACAGCTGCTTCCCGTGCTGTCTCTAACACGATTATTCTGATGATATGCATGGAGAACAGGCCTGTAAGAACCCTACAAAGCCTTGATATCGATGTATGCTGTATCTTGAGGACCCATAATAAGCTCCCAGTGAAGCGCTTTGAACAACTTTTCTATCTGTTAGCTTAAATATCACACCAACCTGAAGAACGTGTTCTGTCAACGCCCAGACTGGCTAGTATTGGTGTAAGGATAGGCACTAGTGCCCGAGGTGAATTCCTCTACTGGATTCCCATCAAAGATCAAAGATTAGGAAGGCATATTCAAGTAGGAAACCTTACCACTATCTCATAACATAATATGGTTTTATAATTAAGCACACCATACTATCATCATTGATTTGTGTTAATTTAGCCTACACATTTAATTTTATGCACATAAATCAACTAAATTACGAAGGGTGATCGCCACATTTACATCATGCATTATTTATAGAAAATCTAGACAACTTATCCCCAAAAATTGATGCAAACAATGTACAAACACTAAACACCAGGGTATAAACAAGCGGCTAAGTGTAAAGAACAAAGCAAAACATCTCAAGAGGAATTAGTAATCGTGTAAAGTGAAATTTGAAATCGATATATTTATTTTTTTATTATTATTTTTTTACAATAAGTAGTTATCAGTAATCAAATAAGACGCGTAATCATGTTACATCTATAGTAAGTAGTGCAGTGAAAATATTAGGAAAATTACCAAAAAGGATTTGCTTCAGTCACTTAGAGTTAATGATCACAACGCCATTGAAACACCAGTAATAATAATTCAAATAAAATAAAGAAATAAATTTTTTTGGCGGGGTCGGGGGGGTGCGAACATAAAATTAACAAAATACACAGGGTTTTGTTTTAAAAAAAATAATAAAAAAAAAGTAGTACACTGTAACTGTGATAATCTAAATTCACAAACAATTGTACAACTGAATTGAATGAAATCTGGAAATGTATCAAAAGAAAAGGATGAACAACATCCTGGTGCTTGAGAGAGAATGACAGTTTTTTGTCGTTTGTGTTAACATTTTGATGGATCATGAACAACACCATTACAATGATATACATTGGTATTATTTAATGACTGGTAGATCGAGGTGGAGGAAGCGGAGGCGATGGAATTTTTGTCCACTATTGAATCATGCGGTAATAATTCACGTGGTCGGATAATTCCTTCAGTAATATTCCAACACTCTCGCATAAGATCGAAATTTATTTTAGGTGATATATATGAATCCTTTTTATAGTCAGGATGATTTATAATACGACTTCTTATCCATTTAGCAGTTGTCATTAATTCACCTAAGTGAAAAATTAAAATAAACAATCGATTCAAATAATGTGAACAAAGGTGATAATTAAACAATTTAAAATTAGCTGACTGAGTTATTCTTAATTACATGACATCCGAAATAAACACTAAATTTAAAATACAAAAACAGAAGAAATAAATTTCATCCTCATGTTTTCAAGAATTTCATTCGGCGAATAAGATTTAAATCCAGTGTTATTCAGCATCAGATACAACACGATATAACTCAACCCAAGTTCAGGTATTGGTTTGTGGGGATTTGATTGATCGGTTACAGGATTTCATCATGAGCTGACATCGGTTAGAGAACCATTGGAAAACCTGGGAGAACTGGACAACTGTTTCTTCCTAGTCTTCATCAGCACGCACCCAACGAGGTTCGAGCCAAGGACCTCCTGGTTACAAGGCGAGCTCACTAGAGACTGGCCCTATTCAAGTAGGTAGTTTCCTGGGGTTCTAGTGGGAAGTCGTGACCAGTAGAGTACAGCAGGTTGGACGTGAGGACAAATACTCGCCGAAGAAATTGGTTAGTAGTCGCGCTATGTCGTGAATTGGCAGAAGTTGGAATTCATTGGTTGGCCATTGAATCGGGTCCCAGTGGCTTAATGGTATACGAGATCGCTGGCCTTGTAACCAGAAGGTCCTGGGTTCGAACCCTGTCAGTGAGTGCGTGCTACCGACGAGTCTCAAACTAGGACGAAACAGATGTCCAGTACTCCCAGGTTTTCCAGTGGTCTTCTAACCGATGTCAGCTCATAATGAAATCCTGTAACCAATCAGTCCAAGTTGTCTAATCACACTTGAGTTTTTACAGCTGAACTCTATGCAGAAGTGGCACTGATACAACATCCAGTGCTGAATAAGATTTATTGATTATGTAAGGATAACTAGTTCGACAGCAGAAAGTATTTAACAAGGACAGATTTTTTAAAGAAAATGGAAGGCATATCAACGAGGGAAATTTTTTATCAACGAAGCCATCTTCAAAGGCTATACAATCGTATTTATATTTATTGAACACATTTAGTAGTCTGTTAATGAATAATAGGGGAGGGAAGGAGTGATATAGCTGATACAATTACTTAAATGTTTATTAAGATAAAACAATTACTTGATAGTCGACAACACAATGGAAGTAGAGAGTTGAGATTTGATAATTGGAAAATGGTCACCCTATTAGGTAGGTAGTGGAGTGTCCACTTGGTAAGTGTGAAGAAGGTGAGGAAAAAAACTTAGTGAGATGAAAAACGGGAAAATGTGATAGCGATTACAGCGAATTAATTACTGTAAACAAAAAGTGAACGAGTAGGAAAGACCTAAAGACAATGGTAAAAGCGAATGGTACAAGGGCTGTTAGGCTTCGGGGCACAAATGCTGATGCGCTAGCGATTCGTCAATAAAACCCCGAACTCAGTGTGTAGAGAAGGTTTGTTCAGTTGCTTATTCTATCATGTTCTATGGCTATCGCGTAATCATTTATGCCTAAATACCACTTCCGAGTAATCGCATCAGTTATGCCATCCCCTACTACACGTTTTTTGTAAATCTAAATACGATTGTACAGTCTTTGAATGAAAATGACTTTTTCGATAGAAATTTACTTCCTTCATTACACAACGGGGTAATTTGGGGTCTTTTAAAACGCGACAAGTACTCTCTTTGATGCAATTAGTGAATTCGATAATGAAAGACAGAAATTATAAGACATTTCCACAGTCATTCCATCAGGAATAAGAGAAATATTTAATTTATGATAACTACTTTACACCAATAAGTCAACAATCTCCATTACGCGAATGCTTGATAAAAGTTGAGCATTGTACGGTTAAATTCTTAGAATTAACCTATCATTAGTGTAAATATTTTATACAGAAAAGAAAGGTTAATTAAAACAGATTTCATAATCACTTTGTATAAATTCTATATTCTGCACAAACAAAAGATTGTAATTTCAAGTAGATTGTGTATGTACCGCACAGATTTTTTTTTAGTATTCAAGTATTGCGCATATAAGCAAAAGAATGTACAAGTCAACTCTATAAACAGTAAACTTCGAAATTCTTGACGTAAAATTAAAGTCATGTGTCAGCTTAGTGGTCTGTTATTTATATATAAATATACATCAGACCATATAATCTGCGCTTCATCTGTGTTAAAATACTGAGACATAATTAACTTCAAAAAGAAATGATTTAGAGATAGTAGCTTAGTGTGTAGATGAGGATTTTTTGTTAAACAAAAAGAGTAGTAGTAGTAGTAGTATGAAAATGTATGAAACCGAAGATTTTGATAAAAACATTTACCGATTTATTTCGGGCATAATTGCGACAATCACGAAAACTATGCCTTATATGAAATTCTGTGTCATAAGAATGAGCAGGTGCTTCAATATTCGGAATAATTAATGAATAGAATAATAATACTAAGAAAATCTAACAAAGTTAAAATTGGTACGAGTAGTTAGTTTCACACAAGTCATATTGATCAGTATGTTTGCAAGCATGACACTCAAACGAATACTTTCTTCTCAACTCATACTAAACATTTAACTGTAAATCAGTTAAGTTGCAGAACAACAAAGTAAAAGTTGTCATTATACTAAGTAGAACTAATTTCAGTTAGCACTTGATATTATATAAACAAAAGACAGTTACAAGTTAATTGGTGGATGGTGACTAGCAGTGGAATCCAGGATGCGTATTTCGTCCTATTTGGGACTCGTCACTATCCACCATCCACCAGTTAACTTCTAATCACATGCACAGACATCATCGAAGCATCTGCACAAGAAGCCCCGACATGTCAGTCTGAAACCGAGCACTTCGGTCCAATCAATCGACGGGAAAATCTAAAATTGAATTGAAAGACAGTTACATGCTGAAAGGAACTAGGATTTTATTTCAGTTGAAAACAAAGAGAAAATTTAATCCGACTAAATGTTCTGAGGCAAAAATACTTTCTATATACTGTATACATTTTCTAAACTTTCTATTGTATATACTTTCTATATATACTGTACGTCGGTGGCACAGCGGTAGAATGTTCGTCAACCACGCATCTGGTCCGGGGTTCGATCCTCGGCCGACGCATTCCTTTAGTTCGCGAAGCCAGTAATAAGACTGTTGAAGAGGGAAGATTGGGCATGAGGTTAGCAACCCCATCCCGTAAAAATAAAAAAACCACTGCTATCGAAACCTCAAAGCTCTAGCTTTAAGCCCTATGTTCCACTGGGAACGCAAAGGAATTAAAAAATACTGAACAAAAATATCAGCCTTACAAATCTAATCAACCTTGCCTAGATTACTAGCTCACTAGTATTCTAGCTGGTCCCAAGCCCGGATAAAGAGGGAGGGTTAGGGCGTGGTGCTAGCAACTCCATCCTCAAAACTTAACCAAATTGCTACAAAAACTTCAATGCACAAATATATTAAAAATTCTAAAAATATAAACAATAACATTATTCTTCGCTGGAATCGGGGAAGTGAAATGACGCAGGCTGCTGAAAGCCAGTCAGCCGATGTGCCTTCTTTCGATGAAAGCAAAAATAAGGATGGGGACGTGGAATATTCGCACAATGTACAAAACTGGGAAGGCTGCTCAGGTAGCCGCAGAAATGAGGAGATATAAAATAGAAGTGTTGGGAATCTGCGAGAGCAGATGGAACGGATGCGGAAGGTGCCAACTACCAACTGGAGAGACAATAATCTACTCCGGTCACCCAGAGGACAATCACGAGCACACCGAGGGAGTAGCCATCATGATGTCACCAAAAGCGGCTAAAGCTCTCATGCAGTGGGAACCAATCTCCTCCAGGATAATGACAGCCAGGTTCAACTCAAAAGGAAAAAAGGTTACAATCATTCAATGCTATGCGCCTACAAACGTCTCAGAAAAAGAGAAGAAGGAGGCCTTCTACAGACAACTACAAACAGTAACGGACAACGTCCCAAATAGCGATATCAAAATCCTGATGGGTGATATGAATGCGAAGCTGGGAGGAGACAACACAGGAAGAGAACTCACCATGGGTCGCGAGGCCATCGGTGAAATGAACGACAATGGTGAACTCTTCTCAGACTTCTGCGCCTTCAATGATTTGGTGAATCTTCGTCACTCAGCATCAACAACAAAATTCGGATTTTCAATACAAACGTCAAGTCAGTCAGTTCTTCTATACGGATCAGAAACTTGACGGGTCACAAAGAATATTTCCAACAGCCTGTTGCAGACCTTTATCAACAACTGTCTTCGCTCTATACTCAAGATTAGATGGTCGGAAAGAATCACCAACAAGAAACTATGGGAACAAACAAAACAAGAACCAATCGCTCAACAAATATGCAGGAGAAAGTGGAGATCAATTGGACACTCGCTGAGGAGGCCGTTGGGTGATACCGCGCGTCAGGCCATAGCTCGAGTGGAACCCGAAAGGGAAGCGACGGGTGGGACGTCCGAGGGTGACATGGAGGAGATTGTGTGAAGAGGAGTTGAAACAGTATGGAATAGCATGGATGCAGGTGAAAAGTACAGCAGAAGACAGAAGCAAGTGGAGACGTGTAGTTGAAGCCCTATGTTCCACTAGGAACCCAAGGGAACAATAATAATAATAATAATACAAATCTAATCGAATGAAGGTAAATTCTTATGTTAAATACTAAGACAAAGATAAGTAGAATGAGGTTAATCTGGCCCCATAGTGCACATATTATAACTTACTTGTGTGACCCAATGTCCAGTAATGCCACACTATTAGTTGAGGCAGTAAACATCCACTCAAAGTGAACTCTTATACGCAAATAGCAAGTCACACAACAGATACACATTGCATTCAGATGCACGAAAGCCTAAAATGACATGATCTTTAAAGGACATGAAGTTTTCAAGGGATATTCAAGAAGGTCAACCATAAAAAGTGAGAAGCAAAAAGACTGTCAAAACACCGTATTATTCAGTGATACACAGAAATTAACGAAATCCATTTTGAATCAATAGGAAGAAGACACAACGCATGTTGGATAGTGCACAGAGATTTAAATGTGTACAGCAACAAAATTTAAAACTGTGACTATTCAAAAATAGATATCCAGTCATCTATTGGCTTCTTGGTACCATTCAAGAACTTCTTGAACTTTGATTAGTCAGTAAGTACTTAAAGTGTACACGAAATCTTTCACTCAAATAGGAGCAAGCTGACAGACAGAGCATGAAAAAGGACTGTAGCAAGAAATACCTGAATAATAATAATATCTAAAAGAGAAGTGAGTAAGAAAGGGAAATAAAAGGAAGTGTTACTCAAAAGCCAACTGCATCTCTCTCTGGTCGTCAGTGTGCTACACTCATTTTGTAAGAGCTAAGGATACCACCTGGCTTATTTAAATCTCCGTAAATGGAGCGAATAAAAGGACAAAAAGACAAAACACAACATAAAGGACATTGAAATGATAGTATTTTTAAAACTTTAACTTCATGTATAGTGAACTGAAATGCAGTTTTCAACCATAAACTGACTAGTGGAATCTTGAAATCGAGAAACTACAGTAAATCTATACCGTAAGATAGATAATGGCTTCTAGAATTATTTCAGTAATTTATTTGACAAAAACATCAGACACGACTAGACTGCATTCGAAGGAAAGTTTTAGAATGACTATTTTAGACGGGAAGAAACATGTGAATACCCCTAGCAGCCCGTACTAAGACGAAATGCAAGTAAATATTTCTAATAATGTGAACAAAACAGATAGATTATATATAATCTACTTATCTAACATCCAAAAAGTGTGTACATGATAAAGAGGGAATCAACTTTATTAACTAATTAATTAACCAAAAGTAAAAACTAACCTGAAGCTCTCTTCTGTATTAAATCTAAATAACTATTGATAAGATCTACGGTCTCCAATTCTCCACCTTTTTCTTCAACATATAATCTTATCAAGGGTAAAAGTCCTGGAAAAGTATCCTGTGTTTAGAAAAAAAATTAAAGTAAACATGATTTCAGTCGTAATATACAGTTTCCTTGGAGGTATACATAAAAATCAGAATAAATTCATTGTAAGTGACTAAATGAAATTAACCGAAGAATAAAAATAACAGAATGCAGTAGAGATTGAATTCTATGAAGCTAATTTCCAATGCTACCTAATGACATAAATGAGGATTTCTAAAATTACACAGAAAGAAGAAAATGGAAATAAAATTGACATTAGCAAAGAATATAAAATGATTTTCCAACATTTCATTAAGATTCACTAACCAGTGATTTCTTAGCACCTCAAGAACGAACTCCTGTGAGGCAGTCTGTATCCACCTATGCAGTTTACATTAACAATCATCATCCTGATATCTTGGTAGTACCCCACTCTTTTCCCATATATTATTTATTGTTCAAGCCGACATTAGTCGATGAGGATGATCATGTCAAATTTTAATATTAGTTATCACATGGCTTTAATTGTCATGATCAATTAAATGAAGACACTTTAACAAGAATTCAGTGCAGACGGGTTCTGGAAGATTCTCTGAAAATTTACAATCCGTAAAAAAAGCATCTCGTCCGCTTAAAACTAGCCTTATTTCATCCTAAAATTTTACTTTAATATATATTTTTTCGTGTCGGTGGCATAGCGGTTAGGACGCTCGCCGACCATGCACATGGTCCGGGGTTCCATCCCCGGCCACAGACGCACTCCTTTACCTCGCTAAGCCAGAAATAATGATGGTGAAGAGGAAAGGTTGGGCATGAGGCTAGTGACTCCATCCTGTAAAATAAACACTACTACAGAAACTTCAAGCCACTATGTTCCACTGGGGAACGTGCAGGAGAAATATATATATCTATTTTTCAACAAGGTAAGTTGAATGTAACATGAAGACAATATTTACTCGATAATTATAGGAAGCAAAAACAAAGTAATAATCATCTGTACTATAGTACACACTTTTGAAACAATTGTTATAGACTGACCTAAATGTTAGGTAGATATTAATCATAAACATGCAACGTTAAACAATTGAGTAAGGAGAAGTGAGACGTGGAAAACAATTTTTACACAATGGTTATAGGGAACTGTTGGTGAAGTTCAGGTAATTATTATTTAGATAATCCGAAAAAGAAACCACATGAAGCACAACGTTCATCCTCTCTCCCTCTTACACACACACACACACACACACACACACACACACACAAGCCAGTATTCAGACATCAAGCCGCTGTCAATCTCTTTAATAACAAATTATTTTACACTAGAAGTTACTAATGCTTTCGAAATCCTTACACTATACTAAACAAGTATGTATTTTCTCAAAAGCTCATAGTTGAAGTGTTCATCAACTTCAAAGTCAATAATGACTCATATTCTTGTCTTTCAAGGTACTTGAAAAATTTAGATATTACAAGTAGCTGTTTAATAACTAGACCAGAAACATTTACAAGCTCCTACTCTTTCAGACTTATGACAATGCAGAAGTTCACATACGTCTCCTGGGTCATTCATATAATGAAAGAGGTTTATGGAATAAAAGATGTGAAATACGAGTCTTTATAGCATATTTGGTAGCTTAAGTGTCCTCATGTTTTTCTAGTGGATAATTACTCTCATACAATTGATAATTTTTCTTTAGTATTCAGTAAACTGTAATTTAAACAGGATTGAGGATTTTATCCTGCAACTCAGAATTATTAGAGTGTTAGGCATGCAATTTTCTGCTGTCAAAATTTTAGATAATGCTAACGAAGTAGACCTCCTCCACTTCTAACTTAAAGATAAGGTGTGAAGTGGTAGGCAATGTTGACAGCAACAGGTATTCGGGAAGTAGCGTCAGCTTTAATGGGTCGACTGCTGATAAAATCTCAGTACATATACAAAAGATTCATGTGGCATTTACCAACTTACGTCATCTCTGATGTAGACGTGATATCCAGGTATCCATCAAGGAGTCTGTTTACTATGCTACAGTCTGCTCTGTCATCCTTTAGGGCAGTGGAACATAGCCATTGAAAGTGGAAGCACTGAAAAGGCTAGGTGTCTTTGACTACATATGATTGCGTTCTATCTCCCATGTTAATTGGCATAATATGGTGAATAATATTGAGGTTAAACGTAGAGTGTTAGGTAAAGAAGATAAGTCAACTGATCAGGTTGTGACGCTACATTCATTGATATGCCCAGGACATGCTCTACACATACCGATCCACTGATTTCTTCGTTCAGCACTGTTAGCTGACATAGGATTAAGTTGGAAAGGAGTGCAAGTCGGTCAAATCAAAATCTTTCGTCAATCCATAAAGGCGTTGATAGTTGGTTTGAGCCCTGTAGGAAGGTATAGACTGCCTGATTGGGGTTCTCAGGATACTGAGAATAAATGACTGGAGATTGTTGCTGATATGGCTCAAAATCGTTCTCATTGGCGCAGATGTATTCACACTTTGTAATCGCCCATATCCATTAAACCCCCATACTTTTACATGTTACTAATCTTTATCTTGCACATTTCTGCTCATCACAGCGCTTTCGAATTTCATTTCTCTCTCTCTCTCCTTTCCCTACCGTTGTGGGCTACACTGATTGTGGTAACTCGGAATGCTGCAGTGCTAAGGTAAAGTCCTACGTTGAAACTCAGTCGATCAGTCATCCTATAACCACACTCAACACCTTTTGATGAATATATTTAAGGACAAACTATTATACCCATCAGCACTGTCTATTATTACGATGCTTAATTATGATACAAAAACATGTGTTTATCCTTAAATCATTAAAAGAATAGACAAATAGTCTGCTGATGAGGAGGTAGTAATTATATCTTACGCTTCCATTGATAATTTCATCCACTGACATCAATGTATAAGAATCTTCTGGTTTCACTTCAGTAAATGCCACTGAACTGCAAGATGGTGGAGGATTCATACTACAATCAAATGCATCAGAAGAGTCATTTTCCTGTGAATGCTGTGATAATAAGCAATTTAAATCAGGAGGTTCACAACATGTTGAATATGTACGATTTCGATTTAAATTGGAACATGATGCGGCTAAATCAATTGGACTTGCATCTGAAATAAACAATGAAATAAAGTTGACAATGCGCTGATATTATTTGAAAAACATACAACACAATACGAAAATATTTTGTTTGTTGATGGGGTGAATAGGTCAACTGATTGTTGATTGTTCAACAAGACTAGTATGCACAATGAAAACATGCATATATATATATATATATACCTTAAACTTGAATTGTAAGACTTATAAAACCTTATCTATCTTAAATGATTTAAAGGAAACTGAATGCACAATTAGTAATAGACAATATATAGCAATACATTGAATGCAAAGGATCATATTACTACTACTACTACTACTATTATTGACACTTCTTCATTTAAAACAATGAAATATGCAGTGTTTACATTTTCTGACGACATAGAGAAGTTCGGACAGTTATTCATTTTGATAAATTCAATTAAGACATCAGGAGGATAAATAGTGCCTAGTCCTAGTTTGGGACTCTTGAGCAGTACATATCTACCGGGATTCGAATCCCTGGCCATCCGGTTACGAGGCAAGCTCGTAGACCATTCAGCCACTGGGACCCGATTCAATGGCTCATGAAATCTAACTTCTGCCAATTTGTGATTTATATTTAGCGCGATCACTAGCCAGTGTCACGGGCGAGTAACTGTCCTCTTGCTTGACTTGGCAGACCCCGTTAGTCACTACTTCTCATTAGAACTCAAGGCACTTCCTGTATAGAGCCAGTCGCTACAGAGCATATTTTATTAAATCAATTAGTCTATGGTAGGCAAAGGCAGAAGTCTATTACTTATTGTGCACACACAGTTTAGGATGCATTTGATTCATCCAAAGTGTTTCCATCACTTTTAATAAACTTTAATTTAAGTTATGTGAAATAATTAAGGAATAGTCATTAATACTGATTTTGTGACCACAAATTGATAAACGTTTTGCAGTGGGTGATGTTGGATTTCTACTCAGATTTGGGAAGGTTTGGACTTTCTATGTGAATTAATAACTACTTAAGAATATGTTTTTTTCGACGACACTGGAACATTCTATTAGTTCCATCTGTATATGTTGCCCTGCAACCTCAGGCGAATTTTTAGATACAGTGTGAATCGTAGGCACATGAGTAAAAAAGTTTGGGATATAAGAGAAAGGTATGCAGCATAGAATGTGCACTTGATAGCTGGACTGATAGCCTTTGAGCTATCAACTGATTGTTTCTCAATCACTTCACATAACTTTGATTCAGAATTATTAAAAGTGATGGAAACACTGGATTAAAAAGTGAAACTGTGTACAGAAAACAATGGACTTCAACGGATGCCCATGGTCCATGTGACCTAATAAAATACGACTGGTTATTAGAATGTACTCTTATTTTATATAACTGATTAATTGTTAAACATTTTATTTTGTTATTGTGAACCATGCTGGTTGTAAAGCGACTGTAAAGACATTGTGAAATGGTATCATCTCACAATATTGATCTTTTTAATGTTTTATCAATAGTCTACGACTGATCGTTCATTATAGGCCTTGAAAGTTTTGCTAAAGTTTTCCTCAATAACCTGTTGTTTCTCTCTCTTATTTTGATGGATTCAACAAATTACATATAAGTTGCGGGTATATCACTGCATTAAGGCGTTATCTATCCTACTTCTTAGCATTGAATACATCCCAGTAGGATAAGTAACTCAATATTATACAATGAAGTACTGAATACTAAGAGTTTTAAAGCAGATATGTTTGATGAATTATAGCCATTCTGCTTATTACAAGTGATTGAGAAGATTCGTAGTTCAAGTGGTTGATATCTGAGTTGGATGGTTTATTCACGAAGCTTTCGCTGTCTTTCTTGAGAACATCTTCAATATTGAATTCTGTGCTGAAGATGTTGTCTACAGAAAAGCAATGTAAACTTTGCAAAATACCCTGCGTTTGCTATCCAAATGTATCATTGAAGAACTTACCCACAGTCATGGTTTCATAAAGGAGAAGAAAGATCCCCCCTGCGCCACAGCTCTATTCTGGAACACCTGATCGATAGAATCTGGACACCAAGCTAACCCACCCATAAAAGAACTTCAAAATAATCTGAACAATAAGTGGGAATCTCGCTATACTAGTACGAATCAAACTTCTTCAAACCGTAGAAGCAATGACAATTCACAGGTTAAATCCTGAACTCTGTATACAAAAGAAGTTTGTTCAGTCATTAAATCTACAATGCACTTGATTTATCTTAACACCAAATACGTGATTTTCGTTTTTGTTTCTTAATTGCATAATATTCTCTTCCATCAACCCCTAATAAATAAATTTCTACTGCTTATTACCACTGTTGTTAACTTGACTTTAGTTGAGCTCTACTCAACCCCGTCAATTAGATTACATCATTTAACTTACCTATTTAATTTAATTTTACTTTCTACCCAATTAACGCTTTCTGCACTAGGTAAGTTGTTACCTAGAATTTACAATTCTAATGGCATAGCTTTGGGAATATTTTTATATTGTAGCTTGACTCCACACAGTATTTTCGATACAAGTATGGAATGTTCAGCATGTGATATCGGTAGCCCAAATTTAGCAGGCCGACCATCGGTACTGGGTTTGCGGCGGCCACGGATCGAACCCCAGGCCATATGTATCGTCGGCGAGCGTTCTAACCGCTACGCCACCGACGCACAATGCCTTTATTGCAAAGAAAATTTACTGTATATATATATATATATGTATATATGATTGTACAGCTTAAGAATGATATCTCTGAAAAGAGGAATAACTCTTCACTGAACAACTTTTCTCTTAAATATAAACGATTCAACTCAGAGAACCCAAATACGTCACTTTGTAGGCTGGCTATCGAATACTTTGATATATGATCTGTGTGAAATACAAATATTGGATACAGTTTTTTTTATCAAGATAAAAACTATCATAATTATAATACCTGTTGTTATTAAATGACCTTGTTTAAAATAAAATTTTCCATTCAATACAGAATCACGTTTAAAAGCTGTTGCAATATTAGCATCGACTTTTGATAGTGGAATTAATAAATTTAAATTGTACTTCAATATTGTCCTAGATAATAATAAAATGAAGGTGACAAAAGCAGCATTTTCAAAGTCTGTCAATTGTAATTCGGTAGGTCGAAATTCAACACGCCAACCAATTGTAGAATTTAAAGGCGGTGGTTTAAAACGCATTGACTGCCAATTAGTAGACTGAATAGTCTAAAAATACGAAGGAAGAAGAATCAAGAACAAAAAACAGAGAGAAATATTTAGTATCAGCACTTCAGTGTGTATATCAATGATAAATGAGAATGACAAAAGATATTCATCGATAAACAAACCTTCAGTGATTAACCTCTCTCTCTTTCTATCCACCTAACTATATCCCCTTTTAATACTTTCACCCTATCCCACCCTATTGTGTGGTTAAATGCAAGTGAATGCGCCTCCAACTTATCACTTCCCATTTATGTCCCACTTGAGGGCCTATCGTACTCACATCGCTTCACAACAATTACCAGCGGTAATATGAGTGAAATAATAACCTGGTTAGCAGCAGGGTCTCGTAGCTCAGGTGACAGGGCACCAGTATAGTAATTCGAAAACCACTGGATCAAATCCTGCTACCATCGACAGTTTCACTTCACTTCCATTCATCCGAGGAATTCACTAGATCAAATCTTGTCACAATATATATCGTATTCATAAGTATCTATCTGACTTATAGAGAGCATAAATATCAAGGCAAAACTAAACTAACTGTTCCATATTAGATGAGTTTATTTTAAATATCACACAGTGATGCAGTATTAAAAACTGGATGACGTTTCAATCATCAATTATTACTCATGATCATATCAATTTAGTCACGCGGTTTCACAATTTGTCTTATATATATTTTCACTCTTTCTGTTTCTCCAACTTCTCTTAGTTGTTTGTTGCCACTTTCCATATCTCCAGTATAGGCGTTGCGTCACTCTGATCACACACACGTGAGGTGTTGAATTGATAAACAAAACTTCAGTGACTAGCCTCTCTGTCTCTTCACCTAACTATATTACTTTTGTTAATAATCTCACCCTGCCCCACCCTATTTTGTGATTACATGCAAGTGAATGCAATGCAATGACTGAGCTTTTTCCAAGGTTCTTTTAACTTATCAGAGTCAATTATTCTAGGTCTAGCTAAATTTTTGTGTTGCAATAATCTAGTTGATCCCGGTCTACTAGTTTAACCTCACGGTCATCATATAGTATTTGGTAAATTACATTATCTTTCTTAACTTGATCTATCGGGTTCTTGAACCGGTAAAGTTTGTCCCTGAGACTGCTGATTGGTTTAAATGCCACCCTAATTGCAGCCTCACTGATAATCCTACATAAGGCCTCTGACATTCCTTCTTTATACGGCAGTACTACACAGGCTTTGAATTCTATGTATTGTTTTCGTCATTTTTATTACTAATCTTAGTGTTTCGTTTAGAATGTTTCAATGGTTTTAATTGATAACAATAATAATAATAATTTATTTTGTGTGGGCTATTTATTGTCAGTGAGAAAGATTAAAGTGTAATTAGCAATCTAGTAAATAAAACCAAAGTAATAGGAAAACTACAAGAAGGAATAAATATATTGAGGAGGACAGTACAATTCTAAGATGGGAGCTTTTGGCAACTTATCTTCAAGAATATGAAAATAGGACGGCAAAATAGTTAAAGATTTCAAGAAAATGTAACAGGTATCATTTTAACAGTACCAAGAATTAGAAGCGGTAGAACAGTAACACTTGCCTATAATCATATATATATATATATATATATATATAGTAGTGCATAATCTAACTGACTGATAATTTTAACGCAAATTACGGTATGCAGTAATAATAATAATAATGATAACAGCTTTATTCCAAACACTACTTTTTGTACAAATATGGAATTTTCAGCATGTAGTAGAGTAGTCCAGTTAATTTTCTCATTATAGGGATAATAATTAAAACGGGGCATTTACATCGATAATATTGTTCAATAAGAAAATGAATACAAAATTAAATTCAGTAGAAATATTAACAACGTCCTAACCACTATGCCACCACCCACTTGCAATAGATTATTATAATCGACAACTATCCGATATAAGAATGATAGAACTCAAGGCAGTGTTCTGACACGTGGTTATGTAGCAGAAGGCTATAACGTAGACGTCAAAGTTAACTAATTAAGAATTGTGCTTTCTATACCAGTTCATTCTGTCAAACATTACGACTGTGAGAGATATGCAGATGATAAAAAAATATGAAAATAGAGGCTTTTGACCATAGATGTCTACGTTTTATTAATTAGATTAGATGGAGCGATGTGGTAAGTATTAATTAGGTCAGATGTAGGCTACAAGATATAGGGGGAAGATTAATGGACTGAGATGGTTAAAACACGTATTAATAAGCATGGGGAGCAACAACTTTCCTCGAATATAGATCTAAGTTGAAGTAGGAATAGACTGGAAAAGAATTAGGAAGAGTCAAAGAAAAATATACCCTCAATCCATGAAGTCACTGACTGCTTGTCTGAGACAGATGTAGAGTATGTGTCTGCGAGTCTAGAAATGCTAAAATCCAATAGTTGCGTTTCTTCTGTGGTTTGGTTTAAATTTTCTCCCGACCAAGATGAGGTATTTAATTGTTAGCATCTTCTAGACTCTAAGATCCTTTACTAGTCTAAAGTTAATTATCTTCTGTCCAATGCCTTTTCGCTTACAATAGTTTGATTACATTTTTTTCTCTACACTTAGGTGCATTTTTGAAGTGTGGTGACCTGAATTTCCTTGCAGTGTTCTACATCATTTCGTCAGTCAGTTGTACTTATATAAAAGTCTATCGGGAAACGATGAAGTTGCACAACCGGCAGTGCAACATACAGGTTAAAAGAGGATACCTGAAGTAACCTTGATTAACAACATACTGAATTTCACATGTTACGATAGTGAGGGCTAAAAGCCTGGATTTCAGTCTCTGAAAGTCACCGATTAGATGCTCCCAGCAGACATTAGAGATCAAACTGAGGAATATGTAACTATCAGTTGTTTTTTAATACATTAGCTATCCAGTCAAGTGGCAATTATTTAGTAAAAATACATTTCCTCAAACACTTACCTCGAAATGTTCCACCGTCTCTTCATCGTCTGAACGATTTAAACTCTCAGAGAATACACTGATTGGATCCCGAATAAACAGATGAGCAATATGTAATGCCAGTGTGTGATCGACACCTTTTTTAAAAAAGGAAAATATTGATAATTTCTGACAAACTTTAAGAAAGCATTATACAGGGAAAATTTTATTTTAAAGGTATAGTCTGCGAAAGAAAACCATCATCAAATAATTCCTTTTAGCAGTATGGCATACTAAGAATCACTGTTGCCTTGGAAAATAGTACAAATCACAAAATATACCCATTAATTCATAAGGAAAAACACAGTTTTTGTTCAGCGAAGAAATATTTGTTTTCAACGACTTCATTTTCAAGCTGTACAGTAGTATTTATATCACGGAAAAAAGTGTTGAGTGGCGTTCAAAGGTGACACTATTGATAAGGTCATTAAAAGTCGTTTATCCAAATCTATTAAACGCTCTTTTCATGCAGCTAACATACATGTAGTATTCACCAGTCGAAACATGATTCGACAATGCATCAAGCATAAATTACTGCTTATGTTCACTTCTATGTGCATATACCCATTCAGATGCTCGTTTGGAGCTGAATACATTGAACCACGTATACAGAGGGCTAGGTTCGCATACGCCAGTTTACGCCGTCTCTGGCGTAGACGCGATATCCGACTATCGACCAAAGGGCGTGTGTACTGCTCAACAGTCCGCTCCGTCCTCCTTTATGGCTGTGAGACCTGACCATTGAGAGCAGAAGACATGAAAAGATTAGCTGTCTTCGATCATAGGTGCCTGCGTTCCATCTCCCGCGTGAAGTGGTATAATAAGGTGAGCAATATTGAGGTTAGGCGTCGAGTGCTAGGTAAGGCGGGGAAATCAATCGATGAGACTGTGAAATTACATCGACTGAGATGGTTAGGACATGTGTTACGTATGCCTAGTCATCGCCTTCCTCGACGGGCAATGTTAGCTGATATAGGGCCAGGCTGGAAAAGAGCTAGCGGCGGTCAAACGAAAACTTGGCACCAGTCAATGAAATCCACAACAGTTAGTCTAAGCCACGTAGGGAGATGTAGACTTCCTCGTTGGGGTCCTCGGCATGGTAAAAACCAATGGTTGGAAACAATTGGTGACATGGCTCAAAATCGTTCTCAATGGCACAGATGTATCCACTCCTTGTGACTCATGATTTCCAATGAAACTGTTTTGTTGTTTGTTATTATTGTTCCTTTGTCTCACACCTCTGTTACTGTCTATATTATGCATTTCTCCTACTTTCTTCTCTTCCTTTGTGTGCTACATGGAGTGTGGCAACTTGAACTGCCGCACATCAGTGCAAAGTTCTATGTCGAAAACAGACAGACAGACAGACAGAATACATTGAACGTTGTAAGCGTGTTCTCCGTAAACGCGTAGCTGAACACTACCCGGTTTGGTTAATGAAAGGTGAGCAAAGGACGACAAAGTCTTCAATCTGTGAACATCTTCTGCAGTCAGGTCATTCAGCCCCACATGATTTATCCTTTAAAGTTATCTACAGGACCAAACCCAACCACTCGAAAAGCTTATGTTTTCTTCACTTATGCATAGCCGAAGCTCTAGCTATACACATAGACAAAAGCTCAAGTTATGTGTTCAAAAATGTTTTGTCAAAGCCCTTTATTTACTTTAGTCATAGTTATATTCCTTTATTTTATTCTATTTTACTACTTGAATTCATTCTACTTCACTTCAGCTTTGCCGTCTTTACTGTTATCATCGTCACACTGTTAATGTTTTAGACAAAACTTGACCTGCTATTTTAAAAAAAATCTTATTACCAGTTCACTAAATTAACAATCTTTAAAACTTTCGTAATTTATCCACTTCAACTCTACCCTCCCCCCCCACTAATACATCATTTTAATTATCTTCATTCTTATCATATGTGCAATATTGACTGAGCAATTTCTAGTGCCACTTATAATGCCTTCTTCTGTTATATAAATACGACTGTACAGCTTGAAAAGGAAGTCGTTAAAAAGAAATATTTCTTCACTGAAGTAAAATAGTACAAATGCTAATGGATCACTGAATTACACCAACTATCCCATCCATCATTCATCATAAATGGATATTCTAGTAATCAATGACCAAATTATGTCAAAAACCTGTATAATACCATCTATTATCATATGCAGAGGATTCTGCATTATAATAAACACTGAGTTACACTCACTGTTACACTATTTCTGTAAAATATATATCTTTTAAAAACAAGACAATGAAATATTGTACAGTTATCAATGCGAATTTGAAAATGACAAGATGTGAAGTGTGAAACGTGCTTTAAAGCAATTCAAGGAGGCTGCTAGAAATCGATACTTATTTACGCCTCCAGTGCCAGTAAAACTTAATTTAGATACTTTTATTTGTATCGAGATTCTACTAACCAGCGTTTCAAAGATGTAAAGAAAATTTTCATACGGAGTGTGGTCATCATATTGAACTACTTTGCTATGGTATTTTCGAATAGAATATTCATTAGAATAATTCTGAGGCAGCCACTTTTATGTAGCACTTATTACAGGATCCTGATTGAACAGGACTATTTCATCTGCATTCTTCAAAACTAGGGATTAAGGGATGATGAAAAGAAACAAGACCAATAAAAATAAATCATGTTCTCAATTGGACTGATTCAGTTCTCCTGGTTGAGTCAAAACCCAGCATACGGCTTATGAGCTTAGTCCCAAACAAGTGAAACGGCTGTCAAGTATTTGGATCAATTTGATCTGGCTAGCGAGCACTAGCGGTTCACGTGAGTAGCACACAACTATTCATCTCAATCAGTATTATTATTGTTCCCTTGGGTTCCGAGTAGAATATAGGGACTCCACAACACATCTCCATTCTGTTCCATTGTCTGCCGTCCTCTTCAGCTAGGTCCACGATTGCCCATAAACTCTCATCTTCTCCTACTCCTCACACGATCTCCTTCATGTCACCCTCGCACCGACGACCCCCTTGTCACTTCCCATCAGGATTCCACCCGAGCGATGACCTGTCGCGCGATGTTATTCGACTGCCTCCTCAACGTATGCCTGATCCATCTCCATTTTCTCCTACATATTTGTTGAGCAGTCGGCTCTTGGTTGGTTTGTTCCCAGCCAGAGTTTCTTGTTGCAAATTCTTTCTGGCCGGCCATTTGATCTTCAATATCGAGCTAACGAAGGTAGCTGTTGATAAAAGTCTGTAACTTGTTGGAAATCTCTTTCGTGACACACCAATTTTCTGACCCATATAGAAGAACTGACTGACTTGACATTGGTGTTGAAAATCCGAATGTTGTTTTTTATGCTGAATGCAGAAAGTTTCGCTGCATCTTCAGCCAGTAAATTGAAGACAATGTCACAGAAAACCATAAATAAACATGTCTAAGCCGGATAGTAAATTAACTAACTACAACTTCTGACAGATGAGCGTACAATGACTGATTTTTATCACTTACAAATTTTCCAGGAAAAAATATGAACTTTGTAGACTGGAAAGGAGATATTATAAGTCTTAATGTTGTTCATTAGTACGTGATTCCGACAAATATGAAAAAAACAATGCTAAGAGGTTCACAGTAACATTCTTTGACAACTGTTTGCAGTAAACAAATGAACACTCACTCAAGTGCAAAAACATTAAAGTCTTATCAGTGTAAATAAGATGAGTAGAAATTTATATTTTTAAAATAAAAGCAGGCAAACGTTTAACTCACCTTCCTTAATTAAAGTATCATAATATTCTTTATTATAGACTAGTGGAATATCATTGAATGCATTACCCATGGGAGAAAGATAAAGGGATACAGAATCAAAGCGTGACTTTGGAATAACAAAACGATCATTGCATAAAGGCTGTAGGGGGAGGGGAGGGGGAAAGCGGAAAAAAACGGGTTAAAATATTCATCAAAGAATATGAATATGAATGAACTCTTCCCAGTAATTTAATAGTTACGATATTCAGGTTGTCTGACTAAAAAAGGGATTACATAACAACAAAAACAATAACAACAACTGAAACTCTATGAATTCCAACTAACTTAAGAATCATAAAAATAAGAATGTAAAGGTCAAACAATAAATAACTTGTTACAGATTTCGAATAATGCGTAGTATGATATATGTTCAAAATAAAATTGAATTGGCTAGATTTTTGGGTAGAAACATAAATTCCTGATGCTATATATACTACTGATTGGTAGACAACATGTGTAGTTGGATATCACTCACGTGAACCAGGAGTGCTTGCCAGCCAGATTGAAGAAGTTATCTAAACACCGGACGGCAGTTTAGTCCGTTTGGCGTCAAGCTTATCAGCACTGTGGTTGCGTGACCGCAGAGCCCAGGGGACAACTGCTTGAGGCCGGTCACACACGGCCTGTTTATGTTTGTTCCTTTTCATTTGGTGTGTCTCAGTAGCATATTTATCACTTCTGCCCTGTGACACGGCAGCAGGAAGCGCGGTCGTTGTTAATCCGGGCCCCGACCGATCCGGCATGATATTTTGTGAATTTGTTTGAATCATAGTATTGGATTGGGTAGCTGCTTTTTGTCTAACCGCTATCCAAACAACCTTTCTGGCATGGTAGGACCTAGAGGAACATAAGTTCCAGCCAGTGTAGCTCGTTGGGTCATTGCGATATGCAAGCCCGACCACCACGTCAAGGTAGCAGCTATCAGTCGGGCTAGTGCAGGAACATCCATATGATGAGTACCAAATAGGACGAAATCTGCATCCTGGATTCCATTGCTAGACACTACCCACCAACTGACTGATAAATTAGTCAGTTACTATATCTTGGTGTTTAACCCTTTTGATAAGATGCTTATGTTTCCCCTTCAGTGAATATAGAAATTTTAAAAAGGAATTAAAACAAGGAGTATGCATGCTCATAAATGTCTTAATATAACAAATATCACCATTTAATTTTTAAAAGTGAAACTGGAAATTTATTTTAGCATCTTGTACATGCCTCCTCACATTAAACAACCTCAGAGATAGAATACACTAACGACAAAAATAGGCTGGAGAAAAAGAAAGCATAAGATAAACAACCTTTCTGGCATGGTAAGAACTCAAGCGACATAAATCTCAGCCAGTATAGCTTGTTGGGTCATTGCGGTGTTCAAGCCCGACCACCACGTCAAGGTAGCAGCTTTCGGTCGGTCAGCACTGTACCTGATGTGGCTCTATTTAGAGAATGCAATCAGTTTAAAAACCCCTGAATTCTGGTTAATGTGAGTATTAACCAACTACTCATATCAATCAATATTACACAGCATCTATTGAATTAGTTGTGTTCTCTGAGCTGGTTGATTTAATTGCGGAGCTTTCGTTCCCCCCCCCCCCCCCCCGCTTCTAGACAACATTTTCAGTGCAGTTTTCAGTATGAAATAGACTAATTTAAATTCTCCATGAATGGTGTAACTGTATCTCCTGGCAACTGTTAGCGTGCCTGGTTGTTATTTACATCTCTATTGATCATATTTTTGTTGACTTGGAATTTGCACTTTTTTGTCATGTGATGATTTACTTTGGTCTATAATAATGTGTTTGTTAGTTACTAATTCGCTTGAGCACCAGACTTCTAAGAATTCCATGGCAGTATTTTTGGTGTTCCCGCTATTTAAAATTTCTCATATGATCCCAATCAAATTGGTGTCCATAATTACCCACATGCACTGATACAAAAGAAAATATATCATGTCTTTTTGTGTTCTTGGATTCGGATTTGAAAAGTAAATCATATGACAAGAAAGTTCAAATTCCAAGTCAATAAAAATATGATCAATATAGAGACATAAATTAACAGCCAGTCACAACAATAATGGTTGCCAGGAGATACAATTACATTTTATTCATGGGGAATTTAAATTAGTTCACTTTATATTAAGCACTACGCTGGAGATGTTGTCTAGAAGGAAAGCGACAGCTTCACAATTAAGTCAACCAGCTAAGAGAACACAACTAATTCAATATCATCCACCTAAGCTACAAATCTTCTCCATTACTTCAGTATATAGCATCATTTGAGTTGTAATGGCTTTCTTGATTGCTATTTGTTGTATCAAGCAGACCGCATATTGTTGCCAGAATAACTTCGATTTCCTTCGGAACAAGTGATGAAATTTCACTTTGGAATGTGTGAATTGCGAAAATGCGAATTAGCTGCAAAAATTTAAATTTCCTATTTTCATAAAAATACTAAGAATTGTTCAATCAAATATTTTTTTCCTTCAAGTTCCCCAGTGGAACATAGGGCTTCAAGCTAATGGCTTGAAGTTTCTGTAGCAGTGGTTATTTTACAGGATGGGGTTGTTAGCCTCATGCCCAACCTTTCCTCTTTACCAGCATTATTTCTGGCTTGGCGAGGTAAAGGAGTGCGTCGGCCGGGGATCGAACCCCGGACCATGTGCATGGTCGGCGAGCGTCCTAACCCTTATACCACCGACGCACCAAATAATATTAAGTAATAATAATAATATTAAGTGTCATGCTAATCACAAAAATTAACCTGACTTCAACTTATTATACTGTGATACAATCTATCTTGCTTTAATGCTAATGATGATCAACAAAAGTCAAATAACACATTTTATTCTTTAAAAACTATTCACATTTCTGCATCAACAAAATAACGCACCTTAAGTCCCCTTTCTTCTTCTGTTCTGTCATCGACTGATGCAGATATTATACCCCAACGACAATCCCAATCAAGTAAATAACCTCGCATAGCAGGAGTTGCTGCACTTAAAGCCATCATAATTGGACATATCGTTGTCAGTTGATCGTATAATATTCTTGCTTCATCAATACAACATGACTAGTTTAGAAAGAAAGAAAGATAAACAGTTATGAAATGAAACTAATAACTTATGAAAAAAAAGAAAGATTAACACCTGGAGTACAAATTCACTTTATTTAACAAATAAACTTTGTGGATAAGTAATGTACACTTCCTGGAGAACTTGAATGACGACTGAAACCCATACTACAACAGATTGATATGTACAGTAATTGTGCAACAAATTTCGCACATTCTAATCACGCATGCACTTGTCATACACATTTATGTAGAAGGCAACAGAGGATAAATAATTACAATACGGGACAAATTGTTTACAGGCCAAAGGGCATAGATAAGAAGCAGGAGGATGACGTAAGAATATGGAGTAATATTAAGTAAATTGACCCTTGGGCATAGTTTATTGCTCACACAACTCCCAGACTTCGTTTATATAACTCCATTAGTTATCACCTCTCCATTTCAGTGGTAGTAATATTTTGGTTTGGTTTCTTTCACTAAATTACTCATCTTCGTGGGGTCAGTCATTCTACATTTAGCTAAGTTCTTGTGGTCTTATAGTATGACTACCCCCGATCTACTGGTTTGACCTATGTAGCTGACGTCACAATCATTGCAAGATGTTTTGTAAATTATATGATGTTGTCTGATTGGGTCAGTAGGGTCCTTTCACTTACAAAGCTTGTCCTCCCTGAATGAGTTTGTAGATTTAAACACCGTTCTAATTCCTGTTTTATTAAGAATCTTACGTAGAGTTTCAGATACTCCCTCGTTATATATGGCGAAACTGTAGATGCCTTAATTTTGTTCCTTATTTATATTATCATTACTAGTTTGTAATCTCCTTAATGAATTTCACAGGATAGTCATTTAACACCGACACTTCATTTATCTGTTTCACTTCATTATTTAGGTTTCTTGATGTACTAATTAGCAGAGTTATTGATCAGTTTGTTAGACACATTTAACTAAGCCTGTCTTCAGAGATAACGGATGAGGTGACCAAGTAAAGTCTAACTATGCACTAGAATGCATTGGCTTTTTATTAAAAACACTAGTGTACAGTTTACGTTCCACTGTTCGTTTTATTTTACAACCTAACATAGTCGATTCTCCTTGGCGTTTGAAACGATCGGTTCTATGAATCAACGGGAAAATCAAAATCAATAATAGCTAATTCTTCTAGCTGTTCATTTTCCGACTCGAGTGTAAATTTTATTACCGTTTACTGTTGAGTTTATTTGTATAAAGATGCTAGAGATATACTGGGCTTTTTTTAACACTGTGAAAGTGTCATCCACATATCTCCACCGTATCTTTGGTGTAGGATTATTTATTTATATTTAAGAGCCATATTTTCCCAGCTATCCATGAAGATATATGCTAAGATTATTGATACTGGTTATCTCACTGCTGAATCTTTTGTTATTTTTTAAATTCTTTCAAGACCATATTAATTGGTATCCCCCGCCCCATCACTATCAGTATATTATTCACTTCAAAGAATTGTAAGGAATTATTAAAAAAAAACAACTGATAAATTCCATTACTAAAAAAGAAACAGATAAATGAAATTTAGTCAACTTTTTTTTCTATCGGTCATGTAAACTCCAATTATAAGTAACCTTACACTACTAGTACTAATATTATGAAAATTTCTGCTGCAATGTGACCTTATCTCATATCATATATATATATATATCGTCTAGTCACAATTATGTTATTTCTAGATAACATTGTTATTACTATTTTCCTCCTCCTCATTCCTGTGATCAAATTCATTTGCATAAGAAATGTATATATATATATATGTATATATATATATATATAATAGATAAGAATTTAAAGAAAAAAATATTTCTGTATTTTATCACATGACCGTTAGAGTAATTGAAAAAACAAACATATAACAAGAGAAACAAGAGAGTAATAGTGAAATATTTTTCTAGATATAATAGAAAGACATGAACAGATAATCATAATAAAGACAATATGTCATCAGTATGTATATGCATCGTACTACTCTAGAAAAGAAATTACATATACAAGCTTGCTGAAACTCAAACTGACTGTTAGGTTGTCAAATAGCTCCATTCTTATTTCTCAGGAAGAAAGCAGTACACTGTATGTCAGGGAAAGTCGTCCACTTCATTGCTTACTGAGGTTGGTGTCCCTCAAGGTGCTGTCCTTTCTCCTTTTCTGTTTTCTTTCTTCTTGCATGACTTGCCTCACTCTGATGAAATGAAATTTGTTAAGTATGCTAACTATTTCCATTTCTGTTAACTCCCAACTAGATTGTACTAAGATGAACAGCTTTCTATCAGGAGTTAGCAAATGGTCTTCGTCTAATGGTTTGAAACTAAATCCTTCCAAATTTCAGACTATTAATTTCAGTTTCCGATGTAAACGAAAGTTAAATGAAGCTGTTGGTTCCTATAACAGATGCAAAAATGATGATAGTGATATAGAAATCAAGTCTGAAGTTAAGTATCTTGGATTAATTCTCTCTTCTGACCTATCCTGATCCTCCCATGTCTTAGGGACTTCTAAAAGAATATTTCGTCTGACTTTTTACATTAAAAAGTTAAGGCACTCAGGCATAACTCAACTACTCATATTACAGTTTATCAACTCGTGTATTTTACCTATTCTTCTTTACTGTTCACCCCTGCTTATTCTTTCCTGGATTGCTTAAAAAGGACTATGTCATACTTCGTAGAACTCTGAAGACTGTCAGTAGGACGAGTGGTATCCCATTGGGCCATATCGTTGACATTGTCACTGATAGGTACTTGATGTCATGCAATAAATTCACTAAAGGAATTTTGTCAAACTCTGAGCACCCACTCTACCCGCAGCTCCAACCTTGTGTCTCCTCAGGTAAAACAACAAGTCTTCTCAGAAGAATTTATGCACGTACGTCTAAGTATAAAAATTCCACTATACCATATTTAGCACGTACTTTGTGTGATGAAAATAGTGTCAGACATGAACTAACTAACCATCTTAGCACCACTAAATAAACCATTTCCTTCTCCCTTAAAGCATCAAACTTTATTGCTAATTGTATTTCTTATATTTATAATCCTCTCAATTTTTTCGTTATGTTTATTTTTTTCATAAGTGTGGACATAATTTAAGTTGTATTATAACTGTTAATTTTGTATTTCCCCTCATTATAATATATCAACAGAACATTAGATCCAATAATCTATAACATGCTCAAGTTTCCAAACTGAATCGACAATACCGTTTGAAACAAACTTACTGTTATTATTATTATTATATTTAATAATCTCAATTCATGCTTCAAATATTTTTGACTTTATGTCGTAAATGTGGACAAATTCCTCCGATTAATTTTGTTTTAATTTTTAATTTTATTTATATTTTGAGTATATATATATATATATGCCAACAGTCCAGCTGGCTTATTCGTAAAAGAAAGTCATACACCAGTTTCACGTTGTGGAATCAGGCTGAGTTTCTTTTGTTTTTTTTTAAAGTGAAACCAGTAGTCGCTATAGCTGCATATTCCAGCAGCATATTGGTCTGTTACTCACTACTACTCTCCCAAAGTCTTTATAGACATTTATGAAATTATTCAAAATAAAGATTTGGAGTGAAATTTGATGCTTTGATTTACAATTCAAATGTGAAGCAGTTGACTGAGTTTTTACAACTCTACACAGGCATTCCGAACTAATCATAATGATATTAATAATAACCATACAATTGATTCTTCGTGGTTAAAGAACCTTGATGTGAACTCTGAGTTGCGTAAACATTTTTTTAACATCTATATATGAATGAAACCTAGGGCTCAAATCTAAAAGAAGCAAATACTACTTTCAAGTAGTTTGACCAGTTAGAGAACCATTGAAAGCCACCATGGAGTACGAGGCAGCTGTTTCGTCCTAGTTTGGGTCTCATCGGCAGCAGTACGCACCCACCGAGTTTCGAACCCAGGACTTCTCGGTTACAAGGTGAAATCGTAGACCATTCAGCCACTAGGCCCAACTGCCGATGATTACCAAACTAGGACGAAACAGCTGTGCAGTACTCCATGGTGGCTTTCAATGGTTCTCTAACTGTTATCAATCCGTCCGTGGTCACACTTGAAAATACTACTTTACCATAAATAAAAGGCTTTAAATGACAATGTGTATCTGAAAATTATATTTTAAAACGAAGTTTTTCATTGATTTAAACTCCACTCACCTGAAAAGTGATTTGTAAACAGCTACAACCCATACCGAAACCCATAGCGTCTAAGTAAACGTGATTAGGAAGAGCGGCAGATGATGCATTCGGATCATTTGATTCGGGAAACTTTTCAATAAATGGTTGAGGTGTACAGGTATCTTGATAAACTGGAATTATTATATTTGGAAAAAAGTGTTTTACAAAAATAGGGTAAAACTAGAAAAATCAGTGGAAATTAAATAGTGTGATTGTGCGGACAACAGAAAAGCGTCAAAACAAATATTACTCCTTAGCTTGAGAAACTGACTGACTGACTGATTTCAATATATAACTTTTCACAGATATGCAGCAATTCAAGTTGCCACACTCCCTCCATGTAACAAACAATACAAGAGAAGAAAGTAGAGGGAGGTTCAAAAGAGAAGATAATAAAGAGAAGTGTGGGGTAAAAAGAAGAGTAATATGGAAAAACCAATATTTTTTTGAAATATGATAAATCAGAAAGAGTGAATGCACTTGCGCCAGCCATTGAGAACGATTTTGATCCCTATCACCAACTGTCTCCAGCCATTGGTTTGGTTCTTACCATCCCGAGGACCCCAACCAGAAAACAGCCTACACCTTCCTATGTGGCTGGCTTAAAATAACTGTTGTGGATTTCATTGACTGGTGAGGGTATGTATTGGCTTGACCACCACTAGCTCTTTTCCAATCTCATCCATTCTACGTCAGCTAACATCATCTGCTGAGGAAGGTGATGGCTAGGCGTGCATGCATAACACATGTCCTAACCATCTCAATCGGTGTAACTTCACAACCTGATCGATTGATTCCCCCTCTTTACCTAGCACTCGACCAATGGCTAACCTCAATATTGCTCACCTAATTTTACCACTCAACACGGGATATAGAACGCAGGCCCCCATGATCAAAGACAGCTAGTCGACCTTCTCGTGTCTTCCACTTTCAATGACCATGTCTCACTCACAGCCATAAAGGAGGACGGAGCGCACTACTGAGCAGTATACACGTCTTTTGGTAGATAGTGGGATATCAAATGACGTGTATACTGTTCAGCAGTGCTCTCCGTCCTCCTTTATGGCTGTGAGAAAGACATGGTCATTGAAAGTGGATGTGCTCATAAATTAGACACGCTGATATTTTAAGCCATGCAAATTATGAGTCAAAATATTTTTAAGGAAAAACTTGTATTTTATAAAACTCACAATTTTTACAGTTCAAACTACAACCTAATTGACCAGCGATAAGACTGCTTGAAATTGGTGAATCGAACACATCCAAAAGTGTTAGAATTCTTTTATTTTTGGACGTATTGCGCAACACAGATATACTTATCATTACTCGACAAACGCCTTAATACTTCATCTGAAGGTAAAATCCGACTCCATGTATAGGCAAGTCTCATGAATGTGATATTAACAAAATTATGTTGAGTTAACCAAGACACTAATCGAATGAATTGGGATCATCAGGCTGATAATTAATTAATCAGCGAATGATGATTCTTGATGACACTGCCTCCAAAGCCTCACGATGGTCGGGGGTGGGTGCCTTGCGCTGCGGGTTGGCCACCCCTCCGCACACCTCTTGAAATGCTCCCATATGACCGGGCGTCTTACATAGCCTCTCCTGAGGAAGTCCTACTCACTGCCTTCACGTGGCGGAGGTGTTTTTCACCAAAGTGAGAGGGCGAAAACGGATGCCCTGCGCTCTTCACCGGGTTGACTGTCCATTTAATGACAGTCTAGGGGAGATGGTTAAATCCTGATTCCAAACCTCCAACGACTGGCGTATGAAGCTCACTGGAGCTCACCGGCAGACGTATGGACAAAGGGCTTTCTACCATTACTCATTCTGTTCCACTCTTATACTTATCTAAATTCTATTGATTCTCTCCTCTCATTTTCCTGTCTACCTTTGTGTGCTATTTGGAACGTGGCAACTCGAACTGCTGCACTTCGGTGCCAAGTTCTATGTTGAATCCAGCAGCAGCAGCAGCTTGTTGGATGTCCTGGATGTCTGGGCCCATTCAAAAAGGCGTATGAACCGAACTCCGGTCACTGGCTGCCAATGGATAGTGGACTCCCTACTCCACTCCTACTACCTTGTAGGTCACACTCGGTTGCGTAAACGCTAAAGCTGCACTCTCAAACGAAAGGCCGAGCGATTCTGGGGTCATCACTCGTACTAAATTCCCATGAAACTTCATGAACTCTCTTCATCAGATCGCCGCGCCCGGCCAGCGATGATTCGAGATGTTCATGAAGCCGGCTCATCCTCCCGTAGGAGATAGCCGAAGTAAAGTAAAGTAAGTACTTACAATGGACAAGATGCATATACTCTTTATTCACTAACATTTTAGATATTTCCACTTATCTTTTTTGGTATTCACTTTCCGACGCTTATGTTTGTTCACTGAAGTGTCATTACACACACTTCTGTTCTCTTTGTTTTTATGTGTTGTAGTGATTGTTTATGTGTCACTTATTCCAATATATTGTGAACATGTGACTAATGGCTTGTAAAATAACCTAGTTGGTCACTCACATCATACATACCCACCTACCTGAGCATCCACAGTAGCATTAGATACAAAATGAATATATAGTACAAGGCAATATAATAATAAAATAAACTTCCACCATCAGCGTTACTGTCACAATTTTCAGTGGTAAAATAATACGTGAGCATAGATATCACAGTATACAACAAAGAAATGTGTATATACTTTACCAATCACAAAGTCACTTACTCGGAACATTAATCGCAACCTTAGCCCCACGACGTTCACGAATGTTGCGGGTTAGTGTTCTAGAAAGAGAGATAATAATAATAATAAAGTCAGTGATGAAAAAAACTTTACACTCTTAAACCTTGCCTACCCGGTAATAAACTTCGTAAAGAGTGGAGGTTAGGCGTGGAGGCTAGTTAACTCATTCTGTAGGAAGCAAACACTAGTGCTACTGAAACTTCAAAGTTCAAGCTTGAAGCTCTCTTCTACTCAGAACTCAAAGGAATAAAATTGAAAAACATTTTTTTAAGTATTGGTTTTGTAGGGATTTTGTTTGATTGCATGGAGGATTTCATCATGAGCTGACATCAGTTAGAGAACCACTGGAAAACCTGGGAGTACTGGATAGCTGTTTCGTCCTATTTTGCGACTCTTCATCAGTACGCAGTCACCGGGATTCGAACCCAGGACCTTCTGGTTACAAGGCGAGCTAGCTCGTAATGAATGAGATACAAGAAATCTGCTTTTATGGAGTGTTTTATCAATCAACAAATTTAGTATCCAACAGAGATAAACATAACATTCATGTATCCAAGGGAAATAAGAATTATAATGGATAAATAAAAACATGATGACCACTCATAAATCCAGTGCTTATCTAGCATGATTTTTATTCTCCTACTTTCCATCTTTGTATTTCTCTGCCATTATGTTAATGTGTATGTGTGTCAAATTTTTAGGTCCTGTTTTGTTGAGGGGGGGGGGGGGGAAAGGATTTATATGTTAGTTAGAAAACAGTGTACAAAAGCATCCTTGTTAGCCTTCGTTGATGCCTGAAAATTGATTTCACTTGTGAAGAAATGTTCAGTATCTTTTTCTTTTACTTTTGGATTTCCGTTACCTGAAAACACAGCTAATCACTAGTGTATTCTGCACTTAAGTGTTTCTTTATGCGGACGCTGATTTTTTTGTGTGTGTCTTTATGCTACTAATTACAGTAACGTTAACCAGCAGGCTTTACTTAAGCTTTTCCACAGAACATTTGTTTCTTTCGGTACAACATAACGCCAAAGAAAAGTGACGCTTCTGTTAACAAAAAAAATAATAAATTTTTAGTTGTTATTGTTTTATAATTTAAAAAAAAACTATTGTGTCAGAAAGTGACTCCTAATTCTATCTTTTAATTTGAGGTTTTGACCGATTGTGTATGCGTATTGTAATATCAAGATTACTTACGATCACAATTTGAGGAATACTGAGTTCATTATTCAAAGTAAAGAATCAATGAGTTAAGCATGTGAAGACGACTACCTCATGCAGATTTGTGGCGTATAGGTCTTTCATCTACCGCAGCACTACACTTTTCTTACCAATCTTTAGACAGTTATTTAGTATCATATAATCTCAGTTATAATTAGTCGCTTGATTTATGTGGGTCAGGGTCCTCAAGATGCTAGACACCAACGGTTTTTATTACATCGCAATGTAAACAATCCATCAAGTAAATTAGAACAATTAAATAATATGTTCTACGTTGACCTATCTGTCTATAATAAGAAAAGTCTTTTTATGTTTATGTGCTTTAATTATCGCTGAATAAACGACTTTTAATTACTGAATTTCGCCTACGCAAATATTCCGGACGTATAAAAAGAGATGAAAAGTGTACAAAATATAAAAAATTTTCTAAAAATGGATATGTTACATATGATAAAAAAATTCGCCTAGTTTACTAGCTTATTAGAGATTTTCAGATGGTCCCAAGCCCAGCAAAACACCTAGGATTGAGCGCGAGGCTAGCAACCCAATCACGGAAAATCAATCCAATAGCTATAGAAATTTCAATGCACACGAAAAATACTGAAAATATAAAAAATAAACTAATTCTTCGATAGAATCGGAGAGACAAAATGACGTGAGACGGTGAAAACCTTCTGAAAGTCAGCCAACTGATATGTCTTCTGATGATGAAAGTGAAAATAAAGATGGCGAAGTGAAAAGTATATTCAATGCACGAAGGTGGGAAGGCTGCCCAGGTAGCCAAAGATATAAGAAGGCACGGCATGGAAGTGCTAAGAATTTGTGAGAGCAAGTGGATAGACGTAGGCTATAAAGTTTTCAACTACAGAGCCAGTAAATTACTCCAGTCACTCAGACAAAAACCACGTGCACACAGACCGAGTGGCCATCATGATAATATCAACAGCAACCAAAGCTCTTGTGCAATGGCAGACAATCTCCTCCTCCAGGATTATGACAGCAAAATTCAACTCGAAAGGAAGGTAGGAAGGTCACAATCATCCAATGCTACGCACAATGTTATAAACAACTCGGAACAAGAGAAGAAGGAAGATTTCTGTGGACAGCTGCAAACAGTAATGGACAACATCCCAAATGGTGACATCAAAATCCTCATGAGTGATATGAATGCCAGCTGAACTGGGAGCAGGAAGAGAAAATACAGGAAGAGAACTCATCATGCGTCGAGAGGTTCTGCCTTGGCGAGATCAATGAGAACGGAGAACTCTCTGCAGACTTCTGCGACTTCAATGATCTGGTGATCGGAGGCAGCGTGTACGAGAACAAGGATATACACAAAGCAACATGGATTTCGACTGAGGGAAACATCAGAAACCAGACAAACTTCATCTCAATAGTCCTCAAGGAAGTGGAGATACAGCCTGCTGGATACAAAGTCGAGAAGGGGAACCTTCAAGGCCAAACTGAAATCCTTCAAAACATCTGGAGACAGACCACACACCTCAAGTTCAACACTCAGCCAGAACAGATACCTGGCTGCCATCGGAGAAAATTCGATGTTAATAGGTGGCATCATTGAGGAAGACTGCATGAAGAACATTGGAACTCTCTGAAGGTGATGTTCGGTGAAACATGTACAACTGTTTTAGGAAGAAAGAAGAGGTGAGACAGGGAATGGCTCTCACAGAAGTGAGGAGGATGATAAAAGAGAAGATGACTCAATGCAATGATGGACAACAGAAGGAGAAGCTGAGTTCAATGTACACTGCACTGAATCGAGAAAGGAATGCAGAAGAGTGTTAGGAAAGACAAAAGACAATTCAACGACACACTGGCCGGCGACCGAAGTAGAACAGGAAGGCTGCAAGTAAAAAGGACCCCAGAAAGTTATATCAGATAGCCAGGTCTCCATCCGGGAAGAGATCCACCCACATGATAAAGTCAATAAAAGATGTTCAAGGGAACCTGACGACCAAGGAGGAGAAACAAACAAATAAAAATCTGATTACTTTAAAGGACTCTTGAGTTGACCATCACCTGAAACTCGCCCAGAAATACCACCAACAGCATGCAGAAAACTTCCAGTGGACACCAATCCTCCAACGGAAGCAGAAGTCTTGAATGCAATCAAGTTGCTGAACGCCGACCAGGAAGGCAGCAGGGACAGACGGAATTCTCCCCGATGCACTGAAAACGGCCCCAGGGACCTCAGCGGATATACTCACGCCATCATTGCAAAAGGTTTGGAAGGAAGGAAATGTAGCTACTGATTGGAAGAAAGGCTGGCTACCTTTGTCAAGCTGCCAAAGAAGGACGACCTACGCCTCTACAAGAACGGACTGGCATGGAATCATTCTGTCGTCCACGCCAAATAAAATACCAAGTCGCATCATCCTGAAGAACAAAAGATGCACTGGATACAATACCTCACCGACCCGGAACAAGCTGGATTCAGGAAAAGCAAATCATGTGCTGATCAAATTGCAGCTCTACGCATCGTCAACTTCACCAGACAAAGCATAGAATGGTATTCAAACCTCTACTTCAACTTCATCGACTTCGAAAAGGCCTTCGACAGCGTTGACCGAGAATTAATCTGGAAACTAATTCAACACTACGGCGTGCAGTGTCCAAGTCTTTATCAACCTCATTCAACAGCTATATGACCATGTCACGAGCCAGATGATCCAAAACGGAAAACTCAGCGAGGCGTTCGAAGTGAATACAGTAGTAGGACAAAGCAGCCTGCCCATTATCATGGATGATATTTCTAATTGTAGTGGACTGAATTATGCGTTAGACTGAGCATTGGGAGCGAGGAGACAGGAATGCACAGGACAACCGGTAGGAAGACTCTAGAAGATCTGGATTTCACGGATGATATATGTCTAGTGTTACACAAACTCGAAGACTTATAACTGAAAAGAAAAAAATTGGTTGAAGAAGCAGCCCGCGAAGACATGACTGCAGGTGAACTTAGAGAAGACGGAGTTGATGTAGATAACCAACTAACAGCGACAACAACAACCAGCACCAGTTACCATCAACGGGAAAGATTTAACAGGGATTACCTCCTTCACTTATCTAGGAAGCAGAGTTTCAACCACAGGCAGTCAGAACGGATGATGTCAAAGCCAGAGTAGGAAAGGCAAGGTATACTTTTATCAATCCGAAATCAATTTGGAAATCTTCTGCATTAACTCAGTGTGACGAACAAGATTCGGATTTTGAACGCCAATGTCAAGTCAGTCAGTTCTTCTATATGGGTCAGAAACTTGGAGAGTCACGTAAAGCATTTCCAACAGGTTTCACGCTTTTACCAGCAGCTACCTTCGCTCCAAGCTGAAGATCAAATGACCAGAAAGGAACTCTAGCGACAAACAAACCAACAATCTACTGCTCAACAAATATGACAAAGAAAATCGGGATGGATTGGACACACGCTGAGGAGATCGTCGAATAACACAACGCGCCAGGCCATCGGTCAAGTGGAATCCAAATGGGAAATACCAAGTTGGGAGTCTGAGAGTGACATAGAGATTAGAAACTACGGGCAATCGCGGGGACTGAGAAAGAGGACCACAGATAATAGGACAAAGTGGAGATGCGCTGTTGAGGCCCTACGTTCCACTAGGAACCCAAGCGGACGATAATAATATATTAAATATAATAAAAGCGGACATAAAACAATAAAACATACGATCGTAAATTAAGTTATTAATATTTGACTGTAAATTAATATATAAGGGAAACATATTTTTAAGCAATTAATCTTAAAAAGCTACAAATATGGATGTATACCAGTTTGCAGCTTCTTTTAAGCTAGTTTACAAAAGAACAAAACTCAGGGTTGTCACCTTGTGAAGAAAAGGTACACAGAAGAACTTCGAAAACTCTTTTCTGGTTATCATGCAGATACTCTCTAGCTTATTAATTTTAATAACAGTCATTTTATGAGGGGATGCATTATGGCCCTGGTTAATTAACGTGGCATTTAGGTTATTCAATTGGAATCATCAGTACTGATTAGTCATAGCTTACACAATTAATGAAATAAAATAATGAAGAATAAGAATGAAGCTTACTTAAAACGTGGATGTCCTTGGTTGATAGCAGCATCTGGATAGAATAAACTTCTTGAAACACCACTATCAGGAGTTGGATTAGCAGCTGGATAACAAAAATCATCACAACCCAATCTAAATTGTAAAGTATAGTGGATATATACAAAATTCAATGTTGAAAGTAGAAAAGGAAAACAAAAGAATCAAAACTAATAGAAAAAACCAGTTAACATTAGCTAGTATACATGAATAAATAACTAATCTGTGTCGAATTGTTCTATTATGGCTTCGTTACATTACATTTTTATCCTTTTATGAAAGCCTTTCAGCAGTGTGACAACTTGAACTGATACACTTTTATGCATAGTAGCTTTTATTGTAAAGTCCTGCCCATGAATTATACATGAGTATTTTGAGATGGATAGCCAACACTCGTAATCTTTATGGTCAACTAAGTTGAGACATAAAAGTATTCCTTGACGACATGGTCAGTGGGTTCTGAGTTTAACAGCTTGAACATGAGTTCGCTGACATAAAATCTAAAAGTCTTATTTTTCCACTTGAAAGTACATTTATTAAACATACTATCAGAATGATTTGGAAACACTTGAAAACTTGCTAAACCCAAGGACATTTTGATCCAATCGAAGTATACTAACTTAAAATTAGGTCTACAACATAGATCCGTTACCACTTTTAGTTTCACTTTGAAATTAAGTAACATTTTTGATAAACTTTTATTGACACGAACAAATCTATAGATGTTTGTAGAATGCTTGTAGTTTGGGACGTGGATGTTGAGCTTAATATGAATAATGATATCTTTCAGAACTTTTTTGTTCGTGAGCACACAACTTTTTATCTGCTTTGAACACAATGAAAATAAGTGCTGACATCGTTAAGTACGCCAGATCTTCACCGAGAAAATGGGTGAAACCTGAAAGTATGATGATGAAACGCGACAAGTAAATAAACGCAATAGGACTGCAAGATACCTGTCAAATCTACACATTTCACTCAATGTCACCTTACGAAAGTCAAGGAAAATGAAACGACGATTTCTCAGAAGGATGAAACTTTAATGATTCCCCAAAAGAAACACCTGCTACACCAGACAGAACACTCTCTCGCACAGCTTAACTGACCTACAACTTCATTACACTAGTCACACGTGAATAAGGTGTAGGAATCGGTTATTCGACCACCTTAGTGATACAAATCAGTGGTTGAAGACATTTTGCGAAATCTTCCTTTTCTTCTGGTGATGCAGAAAGTCAGTCACAGAGCGCAATATAAAATACCTTAGTGAAGTTGACGACGACAAATATCTGCCTTTATCTGTATTCATACCCTTAAAAAGAATCAACTTAACCGTCATGAGTAACAATACTGATATTAATAGTAATAGTTGTCGCATTAACGACGGTGATAGTTAGAGAGATAAGGTCGCACATTTGCCGTGCCATAGTACATAACCCCATTTGCAGATGGTTTACTATGAAACGGACGTTTCTGTTTATCTAAATATCTCATGTATTTACCACGTAGCGACGCAGAAGGAAACACCTATGAACACTTAGTCGAGAAGAAGATAAGACAAATAATGGCTCACTACAGACACAAGGAAGCCGATGGTGGAGAGAAAGGTGATGAAGCAAAAAAGGAACTAATACAAAGACGACCAATAAAAGAAGAAAACAGAGCATAATCTGCAGCTCACTAAACAAAGGAGTGAAAAGACAAAAGACGGTCTTGTGACAGACAACTGAAACAGACCAGACTGCAGGTAAAAAAGACCTCAGAACAGTATATCAGATAAATACGTCGCTACCCGGGAAGAAGGCAGCACAGATGAGGGTGGTGAAGGATAGTGAATGAAACCCAATTCCCGAAGAGGTGGAAGACAGGGTACTCTGGGTTAACCTCTTCAAAGGACTGTTAAATCGGCCACCACCTGCAATTTGTCCAGAGATACCAATAGCAGACACGGAACCGCCAGTGAACACCAAACCTCCGAGAAAAGAAAAGTCTTGAAGGGCTTAGAGTTATGAAAAGCAGGAATAAACGATACCCCCAGAAGCATTGAATGTAGACCCAGAGCTCTCAGATGGCATGCTCAAACCACTTCTGTAGGTATGCGAAGAAAAGAATGCACCTGTGAACTGGAAGAAACAGCCAAAACAAACTGCAAAAATCAAATCCTGGAGAGAACAGAAGATATACACCTATCAACTGTCTTTTTTGTATCAAAATCATCATCAAAATCATACATATCTTTTCAGAAAACAACTGATTATGCAATAAACTTAAAAATTTCCTAGCCTTTCTTTAATATGCTTACGAAATCACTAGAAGCTTAAATTAAGGGACAATGTTGATTTATATTAAAATGTCAGCCAAATGTTCTCTATATATGTCAAAGCTTGTTATTAACGAAATTCAGATATTCTAGATGCACACTTTGTGAATTATTTATCCACAAATACCCAGCGCTGAATATAATATTTGAGAAATTTGTTTACCAACATCCAGCATACCACAGTCTTGATGATATTAGATAGTTGAAGGTAAGCGGCAGGAAGCCTTGGACCTAGTTTTCGTGCTAGTTGCACTCGTTAGCAAGGAGTATCTGCAACTTTGAGAGAACTCATGATTGAACACTAGTTATTAGTATCGAATCAAAGTATCCAGTAAAGTCCTATTACGAGAAGAAAACGGTCAGCATTCCCTTAATTTGAGAATCGTTTAGCAGCACACTGGTGTGGTTCAGGATTACCAGTCATTTAGAACCATCCCTACCTTATTGTTCAGGGCTTAATTACGACTCGGTTAATTTCAAAAAGCCTTATAATTAAATTCTACGCACTATTTTAATGTACTGCAGTATACTGTAACACGTATATACGGCTCAATTCACAGAATTGTGGGTAAATTTGTTTTCCAGGACTGTGTGGGGTGATTTAACTAAATAAAACGAGAATGACATACCTGGGAAAAGCACAGATTGTTAGTGGAACACAGCCCTTGGGAAGATGGGTCATCAGGTCTAGTCGTCGTTTCCGCATGTTGCATTCAACAGTACTAAATGAATGTAGTAATCTTCCAAAAGGGATTCCAGGCACTCCTTCTATCATGTACTCAGCATATTCTGGTTGCCAAGTGATTTCACCACTGAAACAATATCATCAAATATTTTCATTGTAACAAAAATATACACAAAATAAAATCTAGTGAGTTTATCGACTATTGTGTTTAGTTAGCATGTTAGTGACTATAAGTGAAGCTATTAAAGTAGTTGTAAAGTATACAAACTAAAAAACACATGTAAGTAATTTGTATTGATTCTGGCACACAAGTCCAGCTATTCTACTGTGATCAATCTGTTTCAAAAGGATTCACATTAGATTAAATATTCCCCTTCTACTAATGCCATTCTTTCGTTTCCATGCAGTTGGATAATGTGTGAATCTTTACTGATGTTTGTGTCTCAGATTCAAAACATTTATAACATGAAGATAGGGGTAGAATCGCAGAGGACAGTAACATGTTTATTTAAAATCCGCAAATTTCCTGGAAACTAGTGCCTTGATAAAGTAAATAAGGATAATGTCCACATTTTAACAATATGGACACAAGAAATGAAATACAGTTAAACCAAGAAAATAGAGAGCAGGACAGTTAAATAAATGACTGCGGACATCTGTCAGATCCTCCACAGAAATAAATTTTTTTTTGAAATAAGGTTGAGTACTCCATAATAGCCACCCGAATTTACAGTGAATTAAAAGGAAGTGTGATAATAGAAGATAAAAGAACGGAATAACAATGGTAAACACAAATCAGCTGCCAGAAAGAAGGTAGGTGGTAGTTAAAAGTTAGAAAGAATCTATTACTAGGCTGTGCTTAGTCAGCACCTCAGCCATTTACACCATAGACTTCTCACCAGTAGCAAAAATAGTGAGTTAATAAGCTGTAGTGCTGCTAATTATCTGAAAATTATGGTAATCTTACCCAGTATTTGATTCAATAAAATGAGAACAGATGTAAGAGTGATTAGAACATACCCAGTATTATTTTCTTTCCCCATCTTTTTTAACAATTCGGAAGCGCCGAGATAGAGTTGTGCTTTACATTTGAGGGGATCGAAGCGAACCAGTGTGTACTCGATTTCGTCACCCCATTTCAAAGTATGTTTCGTCCGTGAGTTGAGCTTGTGGTACAATAGTATGAACTGTTTGATACCCTGTTCTTGTACGAAGACTGCATTTTTCTTGGTTTCAGGCCAATCTAACGGTGATCCGACAGTTAATAAGCCCATGTCGTGTGTAGTTTGATAGTAGTCTGCAGGTTTTACTAAATGTGTCACCTGGCTTTACTTATTTGAAGCTATAAAAACCGAAACAAGGAAGGGCATCAACTATTGGATGTTTTATAAGCGTGTATTTCTCGACAAGAACAAAAGTCATAACAAAAATGTATTGAAATAGGTAATTTCATCAGTACCCAAACATTTATATACCTAACCAAGCAAAGTTTTACATCACAGTTTGGTGGGAAGTTGGTTCAAACCTGAAGAAGGAAGTAATTAGAGCTACCAACATGAATATTATTCATTTGAAGCCATCTGCACTTTTGGAAAGGATAGCCATAAACCTCTGTAAAACTAAGCCCATAGTTCTAAATTGCGATTTCATGGTGAAAGGAGAAGTCAAATCTCACCATTATTACTATTTATAGCAGAGAAACCAACTAAGTGGGGAGCGTTGACACTATGGAAATATACAAACTTGTGGGCTTGACGTACAAGGAAGTTACTCACTACAAATACCATAAGTATATATACCCACTGACAGATCCAGTCATGTAGGAAACGTATAGACGGGAAACCAAAAGGCAGCATGACAAAAACACTTCGGCATGCAACAAAGAGATATTTTCTAACCTGTATTAAGAAGTATTAATCAAATGATTGTAGGGAAGATACTCAGCGATCAAGCGTCATAATTACAAGCATAATGTTCGATTACAATTTATAATAGTCCACATATCCACGAAATTATCTGCCAAAAACGCTTCTAGTTTCGTAACACTACAGAGGCGTTAATGAAAAACAAGCAAGTTTTCTTATACGTTATATCCATCAGACACTGCTGTAGATATCGTAGGTATTTTTACCACAAATAGAGCTTTCAACACTAGTAATTGTCTGTGTGGATGCACCAGGTGCGTAGTATAATTTTGTGACAATTTATTATAACTCTGAATATGACTCTCCGCATGAATTGTTTGTGTTCTCTTTCGACTTTAAAGTGAGAAATCAAGTATATTCGCTCGGCCAAACACAACTTGGTAGAGTTCACAGTGGATCCCAGATAGATCTCCTAAGTTATTTGTAGTGAGGGTTATATAGGAATTCTGTACTTAACTATGTAAGTAAAGTAGCTGCTGATGACGATAAGCACATAAAACATCCGTAATAAAAGTCTCTGTACTTCCACAAAGTGAAGAAAAAATTACAGCCAATAGAGTAATGGAATCACAGTACAAAATTAAGAAACAATTGCTCGTGAAATGTTTCTTGAACGATAAACCATGAGATCAGACAACTATCACTAGGCATAACGAAAGGAGACAGATATCATCTTTAGAGCCATAATCTCGAACTTTTATACTCTGAGTATGAAATCGTTCCCTCTTCACAAACAAAAGACATATAAATACCAAAACAACTATTAGCGACCCTTCCGCTTACCTCTCGAAGCAGTTACTGCGAGCCAAGGCAATCTGCGCGCCAAAACGCTTCAACACAAGCGTGCTACACATCTCAATCAAATATCAATGTCTACTAAATCAAGAATTTAAATGCCATATCCCACTTATTGTCACATATTTTCACGTCATGATCATACCAAAAAATGAAACAAGCCGATCAAAAACTAATTATGATGATTTGGATAAATCATACTACCAAAACTATTCAGCTCGTGTCATTTTGGTGAGATAATGTAGAATCATGGTTTCAGATAGCCGAGTCTGATTCCAGTGAACATGGATTAGCTGACCAACGTTTACAGTTCTTCGCAGTTGTCCACGCTCAACCACGGGAATTAAGCAAATGCGTAACTGTGCATATGTCGAGCTCAGAGGTAAGTAACTCGTATGAATTGCTTAAAGCATACATCCTAAAGAGAAAAGACCTCGAAGATCGACATCGCCTTGATGAACGGGAAGTTAAGTGATCAGTCGGCCGTGAACGTGCTGACGATAATGCGTGAACTTATCGGCTAACATCAGTTCGATGAGGGGCTTTTCAGAGAACTGTTCTTATCCAAACTGTCACAGTCAGTACAGGCTGAGCTGGTGACACTACAAGGCGTTATTATAGACGACTTAGTTGCTTCTGCCGATAAAATTCTGAAAACAGCAAAATGGCCAGTCACTGAAATATGCTCGATTCCTGAACAGATTTCGAGTAGTGACACTGCAGTGATAGAGTTATGCAACTCCGCCGAACACTTACATAGGTAGAATAATCCCCATAATAATTTATAATAATAACTTTTATATTTTCATATAAACAAAAACTTACATGAAAATGCATGCCATTTTTACAGCCACGATCAAGTATGATATAATGCCAGATAGTAGATTGTCTACAAGTTAATGTTTGAACGGCTAAATATTTGATATATATATATATAAATACACTCTTTGTCTGACCCATGTCGTATCATTATTGAATTAAACAGCAGTCCTCCAGGTTGCGCAGGAAAATCAACTTCATTTCGCTTTCAACCCGTAGTTGTAGGCATACGATAACCAACCAATATTGAGGTAAGTACAACGTTTACAGAGGATAGTAAGCTGTTTTAGAAAAGTAAATGTGCTAAAGTGAATCATTAAAGTGTAATGAAATAGGTAAATGCAATGTATCATTAATATATGCATTCATAAAGGAAATACAATGGGAGACTATAATCCCTAGGCTGACAAAGTTGCTTTGCAATGTATAATGCTACCCTATAGGTTTTGCTATCATGTTGTCCACTTTTGGTTTAATACAGTTATCCACAAGCCGGTTGTTTTTATTTCATACCTTTTTGTGTTTGGTGCACAACCGTACCCTATAGAGAATAGGAATAAAATAAGTCGAATCCATTTCATAAAGAGCTATAAAATGTTAGGTTTAGTGGAATATAATGAGCAAGTGAAGACGTTATTAGAAAATGAATGAGATGAGACATTGTTAAGTGATATTCAAAGATACGACGAAGGAAACATGTTAATTTATAAGATGCCCCATAAATCTGTGCAGAGCCCACGTGGTCGCATCTCAGCAATAGGCTGACCGAATGGTATATTGTATGGAGGATTTCATCATGAGCTGACATCAGTTAGAGAACCACTGGAAAACCTGGGAGTACTGGACAGCTGTTTCGTCCTAGTTTGGGACTCTTCAGCAGTACGCACCCACCGGGATTCGAACCCAGGTTTTCCAGTGGTTCTCTAACTGATGTCAGCTCATGATGAAGTCCTCCATACAATTAAACAAAAATCCCTACCAAACCAATACTCGAATGGTATATGTTTAAAGGTAGAAGCATGATCTGTCCAGGCGATCATTGCTATCTCATTCAAGATAAAGATTCAAGCCATCATAGAAATCTCGAGCCATCAAATTGCATATTGCTGTTCCTGCAGAATGGGGCGATTCACCTTAGTGTCCACCACCATATCTACTGATCAGCATGCGCCACCCTCCTTCCTTTTATGATGTTAGGCTCTGATTGTTATGGCTACAGCAAATATATTGCTTGATTCCAGACACGTTCGTACCTCACATTCCATTTGCCTAGCTTTCTTAGTGAGTGCTTCCAATAGATCTCCACATACAGATTTATGAACATATTATATATGTGTGCACGCGTCCTAATGAACAGATTAGATTATAAGGTGTTAAACCCTTAAAGAGTAAAAAGAATATGTTTTGTGAATAGTGGAGCAAGATTCAGCAGAACACTATAGTTAGAGTTCAATGTAGGTAGTATGAACTGAAGGTAAGGTCGGTTGGCAGGATTTATTGTACTAAATTATCATGACAGTCTTTTATATAGTAAACATTTGACATTGCAAAGTAACCAGTCTACACATATAATAAAACGATATTAACACAGAACCAACAGAATTTTAACATTTGGTTAACAATACCGCAGTGTGTGTATCCTGAAGAAGGATAGTTAGTCTTACAGGGAGCCGTAAAGTAAATCAAAATATATATGATAAGAGTGTTATCAATATTATAATTCGTAACAGCTTTCATTGGCTGAGCAAAGTCATTCAGACACAAAAAATAGCATTGTATCATTAACTGTATATACATATGTAAAATATTAAAAGATGTGGTTGCTTATATAATTGTTTCTAGAAGTACTTATATAATTGCTCCTATCGTCTTGATAATTTCCCTCAACGGTCAAACCCACGTGGTCTGTAACCTATCCCACCGGCACGCGTCTGCGGCAACGGTCGCCGGTGGCACTAGTCGCCTACCTACCTACCTTCAACTTACAGGCTGCGGATGGAAGACCTATCGCAACCTGTGGTAGGAAATATGTGTATCTAAACGTAGGTTTACGCAAACCTATTCAGTGGATTTTCCTTCTCGCCGACGTCACAATGCCCATCATTGACACAGACCTGCTCAACCATCATGATATACTCGTAGACGTACGCCGAAAACGACTGATAGACGGTACTACTGGACTGCCTATTAAAGGCATCACCTACGTTGACCGTAACTTGTCACTTGTTAAGAAGGTAATATTAGATGCAGCTTTCCAACCAATTGCTGATAAGTACCCGAAAATAAATTGCCCCTCTAACAATCTATCGTGCATAACTGGCAATGTTATGCACCACATCATAACCTCAGGACAACCCATGACATCTAAAGCACGACGACTTGCTCCGGACAAAAAGCGAATAGCTAGAAATGAATTCGACCAAATGCTCACCTTTGACATCATTCAGCCATCGAATAGCCCATGGGCATCTCCACTGCATATGGTACCGAAAAAAGATAGCAACGATTGGCGACTCACTGGTGATTAAGAGCGAGTGAACGTCAAAACAACCCCTGATTGCTGCCCATTGCTTCACATAGATGACTTGACAGCAACACTATGTGATGCAACTATATTCTCGAAAATAGAGTTGGTCAAAGCGCATGACCAAATCCCAATGACACCAAAAGATATTCTGAAAACGGCTATCATTACGCCTTTCGACTTTTTGAATTTCTACGTATGCCATTTGGCCTCAGGAATGCAGCACAAACATTCCAACGCTTCATTGATGAGTATTTTCGGTCTCGATTTGTATCCACATACTTAGACGGCTGTCTCAGTGTTAGTCCAGGCAAGGAAACTCACCTTAGACGCTTGGACTTGGCACTTGAAAGGTTACGCCTATATGTTGTTACCATTAATATTCAAGTGTCAGATAGGCACTGACTCGCTCGACTTTCCGGGCCGCACCATTGACCGCAAGGGTATTCGCCCACTGGCTAGTAAAGTTGAGGCGATAATGAAATTTCCAGAGCCACAAACAGTGAAAAGTCTTCGCACTTTTAACGGCTTGGTAAGTTATTACCGACGCTTCACTCCTTACCGCGCTTCTCTGATTCAGCCATTGACAGACCTTCAAGAAAATAACAAGTCAATCGAATTTATCGCGTCTGCTCAAAATGCTTTCACTCAGGTTTCAAAAGCCATCGTGGATGCTACTCTCCTTATTTATCAGGATCCAACGGCACCGTCAAGTATCTTAGTTGATTCAACATGCTTTCCTTCGTCGTATCTTCGAATATCACTTAACAATGTCTCATCTCATTCATTTTCTAATAACGTCTTCACTTGCTCATTATATTCCACTAAACCTAACATTTTATAGCTCTTTATGAATTGGATTCGACTTATTTTATTCCTATTCTCTATAGGGTACGGTTGTGCACCAAACACAAAAAGGTATGAAATAAAAACAACCGGCTTGTGGATAACTGTATTAAACCAAAAGTGGACAACATGATAGTAAAACCTATAGGGTAGCATTATACATTGCAAAGGAACTTTGTCAGCCTAGGGATTATAGTCTCCCATTGTATTTCCTTTATGAATGCATATATTAATGATACATTGCATTTACCTATTTCATTACACTTTAATGATTCACTTTAGCACATTTACTTTTCTAAAACAGCTTACTATCCTCTGTAAACGTTGTACTTACCTCAATATTGGTTGGTTATCGTATGCCTACAACTACGGGTTGAAAGCGAAATGAAGTTGATTTTCCTGCGCAACCTGGAGGACTGCTGTTTAATTCAATAATGATACGACATGGGTCAGACAATGAGTGTATTTATATATATATATCAAATATTTAGCTATTCAAACATTATTAACTTGTAGACAATCTACTATTTGACATTATATCATACTTGATCGTGCCTGTAAAAATGGCATGCATTTTCATGTAAATTTATGTTTATATGACAATATAAGTTATTATTATTATTAAGGGTAGCTATTGACTGAGTAAAGTCATTCCGATACAAAAATATCAGTTTATTATTAATTATAGGCAAAATATTAAATAATATGGCTACTAATATAAGTGTTTCTAGAAATACACTAACCCAACTTCTTGAAAGTTATAGAGAACAGAAAATCAGTAAATTAGTTAAACGGTCGCTGCGTAGGCGGTAGAGTGGAGTTATATCTAACTGACTACACTGAAGACTGGATTAGCTTTCATTTA